ATCCCATTTAGCAGAACTTTTATTAATCCAAATTTTCCTTTTTAATTTCAAATTTCCAAATGAAACTTTTATTTAGCCAAAATACTATTTAACAAAATTTTCATATGAACGAATTTCAATTTAGCTGAATATTCATTTATACAATTATTTAATTATTATTAAACATAAATTTTATTATACCAAAATCTATTTTTTTAAATCACACTATTTGGAGTAATTATTATAAAAATAATAATAAAAATAAAAATTTGAAAAAAACCCTTTTATTTGGCCCTTTTAAGTGGAATTTGAAAGAAACGGATATGGAATGAGTCGCCAGAGTGAATCTCGTGCCAAGTGAGTGTGCGCGAGGCCACGAGCTCGATTCATTCATAAAATCGTTGCTCATTATATATATATATATATGTTATGACCAACTGTCTCTCGTCATTCTTCCTCGTTCTTTGCGATTTCCGATATAATATAATAATTTTAAGCAACAAACAAAGTAAAATTCCCTTTTTTGAGACACTTTTTTTCTTTTGTATTTTTTGTCCTTCACCTCTTTCACATATACATATATATATATATATATAGTTAATGGACCAGAGATAAGGATTTCGCGTAATACAAATCACGTCTCATTCACCAAGATAAGAAAAAAATTCCATCATTTTTTTGCAGCTATTTTTATAAAAAAAAATTCAATCCTTGTTTTCCCTTAATTTATACATTCAGAGAAATATTTTATTGGCGCCTTTATTTGAGAGAAATAAAATTTATTTGAAGCAAATAAAAATATATTTTTCACAGAGCCCTAGTAACTTTTTATTTGTTTTAAATAAAAAAATTATTAAGCACAAATAAAAAAATTATTAAGCACAAATAAAAATTTATTTGAAACAAATAAATATTTTTTTATACACTTACAAATTTTTGAATATCAATATAACAAAGGAAATTCTTTAGTATAACACCTGAAAAATGTGAATGGCTAAAATTCTCAATTTTTTTATTCTCCTCCTTTATATTCAATTTGTCAGTATATATTATTTTCCTATTTATATGTATGAATATTACGGAAGTATTTTTGGATGATTTTGGTTGAACCGGTTTTTTGCGATAAACACGACTGTTTTCATTTTTGTCGAACAATGGAATTCCGGTGTGAACAACTTTAGGTGTAAGCAAAGTTTTGAAAAAAAAAAAAAATTGAAGGTGGCATTGAATAGAGAAAAGAACGCATCACCACCACAAGTTGGTTAAAAGAAGAAGTCACGAATTACCACTTTGAATATTATATATCGCTCAAAGACACGCATCTGTAATTTCTCCTCTTTACTTGAAAAATACATTTTTCGAGTCCTTTTATATTATATTTATATATTATATACAATAAAAATACCAGCGAAAGATTTTTCAAAAGGACTTGAAATCGTCAATTGAATATATTTTTTGTTTTCTTATTGTATATAAAAAAATTTCGCATGAGAAATTTCTTCAATGAAAGTTTTTTTTGGTTTCTTTACTTTTGCGAGTTAAATCACAATTTTGGGAGAGAAATTTTTTGCAATGCTTGCAATTTGTAATATGTTATTTTAAAATAATATCATTTTTGTAAAAAAAAAGTTCATTGCGGGAAATATTTTGAAGTAAAAAAATTCTATTTAATATTCTAAATAATATGAAATATTCTGGAAAGTTCACTAACAAATTTTTTTTCTTCAACATCACTTCATCTATATATATGTATATGCCTTTTTTAAATATACAGTTGCGACTATAGAAAATTATAATGGTAAAAGCGATTTTTCTTGAAAGGTATACATAGGTACTAAGGTGAAATAAAAAAAGAAATTTTTTTTTTCGATTTTATATAAGAGTCGTTATATTGCACTTAATGCGACGGGAAGCAAGCTGCCGTATGCGGTCTTGTTTTTACAACCGGATGTCGACGATGATCGTGACTTGTGGCTTCTTCGGGGATATTGTGGTACGAGTTTATATGAATCCATATACGCGATTTGTTGTTGTTGTGAGAAAAACGCACGATTCACACTATTCGCGAAGACATATATAACCAGTATTTTTGAAAAAGAGTTTTTTTTTTATTTTTAAATACCACGTCGATTTTTGTTAACTATATATATATATAGAAATTTCTTGGAAAAATAATTTGCAAAAAATCAAGGTAAGACTATCACTAAACATAACCTCAAATTTTTTTGGTGTAAGGTCCCTTCTCTCGTTGAGCGTCACAAATAACTATTGTAAAATTCAGAAAAATGCGATAAGGGATTATAGATATTATTCAGATTAAAAAATAACTATAATAGATATTCTCTCGTCCACGGAAGTTGCGAATACAACAAGTTTTATATATATATATATACGTACATATATAGACAGAAAGAATAAAAAAAATAGAAATAAAAAAAATGCGGTTTCTGTTCGCGGCTCGAGTCTCTCTCTCTCTCTCTTGTTCTTGTGACGTGTGCTAGTCGCGTGTGGGGCTCGCGCCTACCGGCGTCTCTTTTCCTGAGGCCCATCCGCCGGTTGGGTCCCGTGGGACGGTGATGCCTCGCTTCGTTCTCACGGTCTCCGACACGGGGCCTTGCTTCCTTCGCGTTCTCGGTTCGTTCGCTCTCCTCTCGCTATAATATACACATACATATATGTATAACATTGAGGGGCCTCATTTTACGTTTGTACGCGTGCAACCAGTTACGCACTCTATATATACACACATAAACATAAAAGAAATGACTTTCTTGAATATATATTTAAAGTGCTACCGAATCCACGTGACATTATTAAGTCGTAAAATAATCGTTTTAAATCCTAGGGAGTTAAGTAACCGTTTTTTGTTCTAGGGACTAAAATTACCATTTTCAACCCTTGAAACTGAAATTCGAGTTTTTCTCTGCAGCATCAATACCATAGCAACCGTTCCCACAGAAATCGTTACCATAGCAAGCGTTACCATAACCGTTTTTTTCCTTAGCAACGGTAATATTAACACTGGCCACGAAACCCTGCGATGGAGGCAAATTTAATTAACTATACTGGTATTAAAAAAAAATTAATCAGTATTAAACCTAGTTTTTTTTTTTGTCTTCTTTATATAGATGAAGGAAATGAATATTTCTGTGAATGACCAGCATCGTTATTACACTGATTATTGTTATTGTTGTCGTCGTTGTACACGCGTGTCTCTGTCGTCATCGTCATTCATGCGCGGCTCGAGTAATATAAGGGGTCACGTGACCCTCATCGCGTATATTCATTGACGAGAATATTATATTGTCAACCGGAAGATCGACGGCAAATCGTAAACATTCGCACGCTTCGCCGTTTCTTTTTATAATGATAAGCGTTCATCAAGTTACATTTATATAAATACGCAAAAGTGATAAAAATAAAATTTCTCTTTCAAGTTCTTGTGCACGTGTGATAAGCCTGTATATATACATGCGATAATTAAAATCGTTTTTTTGCTTTAACGAAGAGCGATGACATCACAAATTATTGTTTTTCTTCCCGGTATTCGCATATACATGAGAGAAAGAGAGATAGGATGCTTATGGCGCAGTGTTTTGCCCCTGAGTGCGCGAGAAGTCACTCGAGATCTGTGGGACTCGCTTCTTATAACCGCAGGCATCAACAAAATAGAAAAAAAAAACACGAGATCATGTCATATATATTCGTGACGCAGATATAGAATGCCAGGAGTCATGTTCCTTTGCAATTTTTTAGTTATTTCAAGAATATTATCTTTGTCATTTTTTGTCACATTTTCATTTTTTTTTTTTTTTTTTAATATCTATTTTAAATCGCTTTAGCGCCGTATTAAATTATATATGTGAGAAAATCTCTTTTTATTTCAAGAGTATTATATTTATACTAATTTTAAGAATAAATTCTTCAATTTGAATTAAATTCTTATAAAGCTATAAAATTTTTAGTTTTATCATATATTTTCTCATAGATTTTGAAATTCGTTTCCAAGGATATATATTCTCAATTTTAGAATATTTTCCGATCTTATTGAATTATATTTATAACAAAAATTACTGTACTCTTATATGTGATATAAAGTATTCATTGTTTAATAATAATTCACAGTGAAGAATAAAAGGAGTCATGTTCACTTATATATATATATATATATGTAGACGTTCAATTGATTCATATATATGATTTGATAATGAAGTGGCACGTACGCATTTTTTATTACATGAGAAAAAGAGTATATCGTAAATCAAAACTCATGAATGAAAGTCTGAAACGTAGTTATATTTGTTTCCTTTGAAAATCTTATCATTTGTTTATTTAAAACAAAAGTAAAAATTCTTTCTCTCATTAATCTTTATTTTGGTGGCCGATATATTCAAATATTTTTGCACAAGGTGATTCGATAACTTTATTTAAAAAATAAACTATATAATGATTAATTTTATCTCTATTATTATAGTGGAATTTGTAACAATTATTTTAGTCAAAACAAACTTTTTTATATTTAATTATTAATTACATTTTCAGTTAGTTAATAATTCGATTATTCATTAATACAATTAATTAATTAAATTTATTCTTAATTATTAAATTACATACACTGTTAACAAAAATTAATTAATTTTTCATTCGTTAATTAATTTAATTGTTAATCACACGAACGGTCAATTAAAAGCGCGCTTTTAAACCTAGGGAGTAAAATGACCATTTTTTTAACTAGTTCTAAAAATGATAACGAAAAATAATTTAAAAATTAATTTTTAATTCTGTTTTTCGGGAAATTACAAAATCTTAAAAGTTTAAAATATAAAAGCAATTATTAAAAAAACCACCCCGAAAAACATGAATAAAAAATTTAAAAAAAATAAAATATTCACCTTCGTATTCATCATAAGAGTTAATTAATCCTGTTCTCACATAAATTTGTAAGAATTTCTCGTTACATTAAACGGGAGTCGTTGGGGGTGAGGGAGGGGGAGAGGAAGTATAATAGAAAAGTGCATAAATAGGAAGTGTAAAAAAAAGGCGAGGGGAGATGATCTACCTGAGGGAATAAAATTGTAAAGTATAGCATTTATTCTATATGTATATACACTCTCGAGGGAGGGTTCGAACTTGAAAGTGAGCGAGGGGAGGGTCCCGTCAGAATGGCTAGTAGTGAGTCAGTTCACGTACAGACTGCATCGAGAACACCCGCTGTCTAAATGACTCAATATTTATGTCATTGTATTGTTTTTTTCTCACCCTTCATTTTTTATTATTTTATTAATTAACATAACAGTGACCAGTGTCATGTGCTATTACATAAAAACAAAATTTGAAAATCATTTCAAATAACTTGTAATGATGTCGTACGATTATCCACATCCGGTTTCAAGGACTTATCAGTATAAAAAGGTAGGTATCAAATAATTATTGTTCAGATTTATTTTTTTATTATTATTTTTAATATTGTTAGTTAATACACTAAATTAACTAAATTAATAAATAAACAAATAAACTTTGAATAATTAAATAAATAATTTAAAAATTATTATTTACTAAAAAAATAATTGATTATTTAATAACTGCACAGTTAATTATTTCATTTATGTATTTATAAATAATTAATAATTAAATAAAATAATAATAATTAAATTTACTTATTTCAATTTTCCTAATGTAATAACATAAAAAGTGAAATAATTATGAAAAATGAATTTCTATTGATTTGTTAAATTTATTTAAAAAACATTTTTTTTTAACGCAGATCACAAAGCCACTGCTGGAGAGAAAGAGACGAGCTCGAATAAATCGATGTCTTGAAGAATTAAAAGATTTGATGGTGGACGCCTTGGAGGTGAGTTTACATTTAAATAATAATTTGTCAAAAAATTAACTTTTATTTTTATTGTATTTTATTCGAGATTTTATTATCATTTTATTTTATTTATTTATTTTTGTTATTTACATATACACGGGCTTAAGAAAAAAAAGAAATGAGCCCTTTATTTAATTAATTAAATTATTAATTAAACAAAATAAAACAAATTACGAGGAAAAATAATTTAAGGACAAAATCAAATTTTTAAATGCGCAAAAAAAAATCAAAACTAATTCTTAGTTTATTTAAGCTTGCGACAATAATTAAACTTGCAGAATTGAGAATATTCGTTCCATAGATAATCGATTCTTAACCCCCCTCCCCACTCGCCTCCCGCACCTCAACCCTTTCTTCTTTGGGTATTTGATTGGCTTTATGTACATGGCTTTTAAACTCAGATTCGATTTGCTCCCCCCTCTCCCTTTTTTTCCCATCTACAAAACAAATAGACGTCCCTCTTGAAAAACCAAACAAGAAAGAAAAAAAATTAAAAGAAACCGCAAGTTGGATTTTATTTTCGATTGATGGCTATAAAAAGAAAAATTTACATTTTTTCCATTTCGGTCGCGCACGATTCTTCTGATTCGTTATGTATACATAGTCAATATATTTCGATTCGTGCGAACTTGAATTGTATTTTATATAGATATATATATACAAGCATCGTATAAGATTAAATTTCATTACTAGAATTTTTTTTTAATTTTCAATTACTGAAAAAAAAAATTTTTTGATGAAAAAGAATATTTTTTCAAACTTTCAATTATTTTTAAAAATAGAAACAATAGTTTATTATTAAATTTTTATTTATTAATAATAAATTTATACAATAAATAAATAATTATTTATATAATAAATTTTTTATTTATTATAATTTGTATATATTGAAAAAAGAGGTAGAGAAAAAAAATTGTTTTGTTTAAAAAACATTTTTTTTAATAAATAAAAAAATTTTGATTAAATGAAAAAAAAACTATTTTTAGACCGAGGGTGAAAATATCAGCAAATTAGAGAAGGCGGATATTTTAGAATTGACTGTTCGTCATTTACAAAGGCTTCAAACGTCAAGACCATCGGGATTGTCTACTTCAGCATCCACCAATGAAGATACATCTGCCGAAAGTAGATGGCAATCTGGATTTGGTCATTGTGCAGCTGAGGCTTGTAGATTTTTGGCATCGCTTCCCGGCGAAACAGCCGATAAACTTTTTAAACATCTCACCACTCTTTTGACACCAAAACCAAATGATGAACAGGTTATTAATAGAAAACATTTTTTTTTAAGTAAAAAAAATTTAATTAAACAAAAAAAAAATTGGTGAAAAAATAGATATTTTTTATTATTATTGTTAGAAAATATTTATAGTTATATAAAATTACTTATTGAAAATAAAATTTTTTTAGAACGTCTCAAATGCAACTCTTGATGTATTGACAACGTTAAAAAGTTTGGAAAGAACCGCTAATATAATTGCACCTTGTCAGTCGCCAAATTCGTCAAGTGAATCTGGAGCATTGTGCATTGATGAAAAACGAAGAATATCATCAAATGGACCAATTCAGCAGCATCCTACAAAATCCGAAACAATAAATAATCGTTTGGAAATTAATAAATCACCATATTCAAGACCACAAATTGTAACAACAAATATTGAAATTCAATCTCGAAATCAGTTGTTTATAAAACGAGAAGATGTGAATTTAATTGAGAACAAAAATTCTGATTTAAAATTTATTAATCATTATTCGAGAAATTTAGAAAAATCTGAGAAATCAGAATCGATTATCGATGAAGAGGAAGAGGAGGAGGAAATTATTGATGTTGTTAGAATTGATGGTCCATGTGATCCAATGTGGAGGCCTTGGTAATAATTTTTTTTTTCTATTAATTGTTAAGTAAATATTTTTATTTCTGAAATTGTATTCAAAAATAGTTAAATTTGGCTTTTTCATAGTATTTTTTTAGAAAAATAATAATAATTTGAATATTGTGAATTCAAAATAATTAAGTAATTAAGTATTTTGCAAAATGTGATTTTGTCCAGAGAAAAAAAACTTTGATCTCCCATTTAAAGTAAAAAATTTATAAAATTTTTACTATAAACAAATAGAGGATCGTAACAGAAAAATTGAGATAAAGGATGAATTATGATAAATTCTTCCAAATCTCAAAATTTTGATTTATTAATAATAAATAATTAAATAATTTTTAATTATATCTGTTTAAGTTTTAAAACTCTGCTATTTGATAATATTTAGAATATTTCTATATGTTAATGTAATTTTTTACATTTTATATAAGATATAGTTATATGAATCACAATCTATAACTTCTTTTTAAGAGATTTTATATCAGCGTTGAAAAGTTTTGGTACTTGGCTTTAATTTGTTAGTTTTTCTACTCGTTGCAAAAAAAACGAGATTATTAATTTTTTTAAATATAATTTTCATTATTATTAGTGATATTTAATTAATAATCTTTCGTTATTACATATTGATTTTTTAATTATTATTAATTTTTAAGACAACCAATTATTTATATATATTGGAAAAATTTATAATCTATTCGCAAAAAAATGTTATATCTTGTTTCTTAAATAATACAGTAGAACCTGGAACGAATTTTTTTGTAAAATTTTAATTTAAAATTTTCCTGAAAAAAATATTAATGTTACAGAAAAATATTGTTTTAATTCAAAATGTAGTTAAGAAACTTTTTTAAAAAATATTAAATACAGTGAACTCTCGATAATTGTTAAAAAAAAATTTTTAATTATAAATTAATTTTTGTTTCTACTGTATTTCCTAATTTTTAAAATGATTATTATCAAAGGTTCACTGCGTGTACGATGAAATCAAATTATACATACAATATGTTTTAGTTTAGAAAATAATTTATCAAGGTTCTACTGTAATTTTGTTTTATCGACGATTAATTATTCAATAGTTTACTGTATTTTTCATATTTAATGGCGATCAATTGTTAAAATGTTTTTTTTTTTATATTCACAAACGATCAATTATCAAGGGTCCAATGCAATGTTTTAATTCATATGATGAGTTATTAAGGGTCTACTGTATATTTGATTTACGTTATTGATAAGTTATTTTTTTTATTTATTTTTTTTAAGATACGTTATCAAAGATCTATACTGTATTTTCTGTATTTGTGTCAATTATCGAGAGTTTACTGTAGGTGAATTTGTTAAGTTTACAATTAAGTTGTTTTTTTAATACTTATTTGCATATATCGCACCATACTTATTTATTTCACACTACTTAAAGTGATGTTAATTGAATTTATAGTATAGTTTATATTCGCAGACAATAATTAATAATTGAACAGTACATTATATTATATTTATATTTACAATTCAGTATCTAATATTCACATGTGATAAATCTGTGATAGCCATAAGAATTTTACGAGCATTACTATTAATAAACAATTTTCAAATTTGAATAAAAAAAATTTGACTTTTTAATTATTTTAAGAATAAATTTTCCGTTTTTCTAATTTTATATTTTATTTATTAATAAAATAAAAAATAAAAATATATAAAATAAATTGACCAAAAAAATAATAAATTTCGAAAAAAAATTTTTTCCATTTTTTTTATAAGTTAGGAAATAATTTATAATACTCACTGTCAATAATGAAGATTTTTTCCATAAAAATTGTAATTTTTTTTAACATCAGGAGGTAATTTTCCATTTATCGATAGAAGAACATTTGAAAGGTGATATAAAAATAAAAAATAGTTTTCTATCTTATCGACGTTATGCGCCGTATGAATTGAAAAACGTTTGACTTTAGAACCTGAAGGTCTGCCTATCATTAGGGGTAGGCATCCTTTTGCAATATAATCAATATGAAAAAAAATCAATGAATTTTAAATTAAAAAAATTAAATTTTAATTAAAAATTAATTGAAAATTATTTCTAAAAAAATAAAATTGTTTTTTAAAGAAAAAATATAAATCAGAATGACATTTATAAAAAAAATACGAATATCGATCAAATTGATGCAATGAAAACGAAAGATAATCTTCATCCCTCTTCACAATATTTTTATTATATACAGCAGATATGATATTCTTTATCTTGCAGTGTGAAATAATCAACAACGAAGCAATGAAGTTGGTATTATTTGTGGTGACTTTTGTCATTTTTGTCACAACAAGTGAGCAAATTGTAATAAATTTATTTAATATAAAGAATAAATTTTATTATATTTTATAAAACAACAATAAGCAAAAAGAGAAAAAAAAATTTGTTATAAGAATATTTATCTTATACTTATTTATTAAAAATAAATAAATTCGTTGAAAATTAAATTTAGAACCGAGAAAAAAAAATTATTTAAAATATTTTTTTAAGGTAAATAAGAAAAAAATAGTCAGATAAAAATTGTTTTTATCTGAAATTTTTTTCTCAACAGGTGAAAGCATTTGGTGTTTCAGGTGTCACACAGGAAACTTTACAGATGATTTTTTCGGCAATATTTCATTATCCAATTGCACAAATCTCACAGAAAATACAACTGCCACTTGTAGCATTGGCTGCATGAAACTCAAAATTAAAGGTCAGTGGGTTTTCTTTTATTAATCAAAAAAATATTTTCTCAATTTCGAATTTTTATTTCGATATATAAAGTTCAAATCGTTTGTAATTTACAAAAAAAATTGATACAAAGAATGATAATTATTATTAAATAATAATTAAATTAAAATTAAATTAAAAACTGAATATTATATTGAATATTATTTCAATCGTTTTATATTTATTAAATTGTTCATTTCGATTGCATTATTTAGATAACAATCGACGCTTAACTACCTATGATTGTCACGACAAAAACATTGATAAGAAATTAAATGAAACAGCGATAATAAAAAAGATAGTGTGCTACACGAATTTTTGCAACGGAGAAAGATATTGGAATATTCCAATTATCAAAACATCGTCAACAAAAAATTATGTTTCTGAATTTTGGATTTATATTTGTATTATAATTTTAGTGAGTGTGATGATTCATGTTTTTAAATTTATTTGTCGATGTGGTGAACAAAATTCAGGTCGAATGAAAAAAAATGTCAATAGCCGAACGAATTTGATTGGCGTTGGTGTTTAGAAAGAAAAAGAAAATAAATGAATATACATAGGATAAATTAATCTTTAATTAAAATTAAAATAATTAAGAAATGATAAAAATTACTATGAATGACTATATTAAGACTAATTTTAATAATTAATTAATCAAATAATTAATAGGTGATTGAATTAAGACTTATTTGTTTTTATTATTTGCAACAGCAGAGATATTTATTTTATTTACATGTAAATTACAATCTCTATCTAATTATTAACCACACATAATTTACAACCCTTCCAAGTGGAATGGGACGTTTGACTAGTTTTTTTTCAATTTTTTATTACAATGAGATCATTATTTACGAAAGAAAAATATAAATAATTGAATGTTAATTTAAGAGATAATTAATTTTAATAACATAAATTCAATATTAATTAAATTTCATTAAATATTGAGTTCACAGCGGAAAACATAAAGACGAATTATGTACATTATCTATAAATATATGTGTAAAAAATTAAAAAGCTCTGCATCGATTTTACACTAACAAAAAATAAAAGATTTATTTTACTTTTATATGTATGTTAATTAATTTATATATTATTACTTCAATATAGTTTCTTTTCTTTTTTGTAACAAATTTTCTTTGGGGAAAAAAGAGAAATTTTTTCTGCGTAGATTCAAAATTAATATAGAATTATAATTATCATATTATGTTATACAAATTACCATATATGTATTATCAAAAAATTCACTATAACTTTTTATAGATAATTTAATAATAATAGAATAAATAATTATTCATCAAGTATATAACAATATAGTTAACAAATTTACTATTTCAAAATTTTTGATTTCCCATAACAATCTAATTATTTGTTTTTGCTAAAAGATTTAATTTAATTATGAAGTGATTTGTAATTATTATCCATTTTTTATATATATTCAACAATTAAATATTCTAAAATTATGTGAAAAATATATATATATTTTTTTGAAATATTTTAAATATTTCAGGACTATCCTATTCTGTTTTTTATTATTATTACTTCATTAAATTAAATGAAAAATTGTCATTTAATTAGATTGTTATGGAAAAAAGTAGATAAATAAAAATAATAAGGGACAAGAATTATTTTTTTTTAACATACACAACTACCAACACCGAGGCAAGTATAGGGTGTTTGTTCAATTTTTGAGCTTGCACTACCCTCAATGAGAGGTGTTTGAGAACTGACAATATTGGTCGATATTTGTGATCTCTGTAAACCATGATATGTAGTTGAGTCATGTTCTCTTTCGCTGCTACTTTCACATGTATCATGAGGATAAATTTGTTTCGCTGTTTCTTGTGTTCTTGCATCCAATGGAAATTCGTGTGCCGAAATTCCCAATCCATAATTGAGAAAAGATTCAGTGTACGCTGACGAGGATGGATGATGATGATGATGATGGTGGTGATGATGATTATTTCCATATTGATGTGCATAAGGTGAATGATATCGGCTTGGAGGTGTTTTAAAACCTTCATTACTGCCCAAATATTGATGCAAATGATGAAGACTCGATTGACCATAAACTATATATATGCATGTGAAAATCAAATATTCATTTTTTTTACTCTAAATGTATAATAATAAAATTCTCTTAATTAAATAATTTTAAAAATTAAAAAAAAAGAAGATTTTTTAATTGTAATAATTTATGAATATACCTGAAGCAGTATTTGAGTACATTGCAAGGACAGCATCACCGTATCCTGTTGTTGAATGCTTTCCCAAATCAACAATATCGCTGGCGGTTGAAATTTTTCCCGATGTCACGTGACTTTTAGATAAACTATTTTGCATATCACTTGTTAGTGAAGTATTTCCTGTACCATAGGCCATATTAAAAAGTGCTTCTGGATCGCAGACAAATTTATAAACGTATCTTTCACCGGCAACTTTTTGCATTATTCCCTTCTCATAATAATACCTAAGAGAACGGCTCAATTTATCATAATTCATTGCTGGCCTATTTTTTTGAACTCCCCATCTACGTGCCACCTAAAAAACAAAAAAAATAATTTGTTTTTCTCGAAATTTATCATAACTTTGGAACATTCCTTTGGAATATTTTAGGAATATTTAGAAAATATTCCCTTATAGTGAGAAATTTTAATATTCCTGGAATATAAAAGGAACATTCCTCATAGGAATCAAATAAATTATTCCATGGAATGTGAATTGAATATTCCATAATATTTGTGGATTATGAATATTTTTTTTCAAATAACATTTACCTCTTCTGGTTCAATTAATTTAAATTCCATTCCCCTTCCGGTCCACGCGATACAAGGAGCATTCGCTGGATCATCTAATAATGCAACTAAAAATTGCCACAATTGAAGTGAACCCCTTCGTTGTTGTTGATAACCAACGGTAACGTCACTCCATGCTGATGATGGTCCATTTTTATTAATATTATTATTATTATTATTGTTATTGTTATTATTATTATTATTTTTGTACTCCGTACTCCATAATGATGTAGTGGGTGAATTTCTTTTTTGTAAATAACACGATGTACTTTGACGTTCCCATGATGTTGTATTGTTTGATGATTCCAATTGTGTACCAAGTTCAGTCCATGTTGGTGTGCCACTTCGTTTTGAATAAATTTCACTTGACCACGATGATGATTCTTGACGACGTGTGAGATAATTCTCAGTTGTTGATCCACCTGATGTTGATGGCCATTGTGAATTTATTGACGATGCACTACCTGGCCGACTTGTATTTATTGGTGAACTTCTATTTTCTCTCTCACTTATATTTGATCCATAACGTTGTTGATAAATCAAATTGTTGTCTGAAATAAATGATTTTTTTTTAATTAAATTATTTAATTACAATTTTTTGAATTATAATTAATTAAAGAAATAATTTTTTTTCAGTTTACATTTTTGTCAATTATTTAAATGTAAAATATATGTATATATATGTGACGGAAGAAAAGAGGGTTGTTAATACGATAATTCATTATTCAAAAGACAAAACGGTTTTGAGGAAACAACCCTTTTAAGCTTCTTTACTGTTGACGATGAGTTTCCATGTCAGCTAAAGCTTCTTAATCCTCTCTTCTGATTTTCATTGAAGCATTTCGTTTGCATACTTAAGAACTAATAAAAAGTAATTCATTACTAATAAATTTTTTATTCAAAATGAATAACTTAGAAAAAAAAGAAAGAAAGAAATTATTTTTCCTTTTCACGTTACAATCAAATTTTAATTATCATGCTAAAACATTTTTTTTTCTTTTTGTATTTTTGTAAAATAAAAGTGAGAGAGAGAGAAATTTGCTGTGATAAAGAGAGGGGAATGGTTGATACGAAAAAGGGGCGGACACTATTAGCTTACGTCCATTTCAAGACGAGCTTCATGAGAGCTTTTCTCTTCGTTGCGTTCATTTTCGGATTCCGCAGCTTCATCTATTTAAAAATTCATTCTCAATTCCCCAGTTGTACCTGGCTCCGCTGATTTATCCCTGTGTTGGTGCATTTCTATATATACATATACGCACGTAAAATCCACGTGAAAACGAGAAAAAAACATATCAATCTAGAGAAAATATACGAACGAATTTCACATACATTTAATATGCACCGTTTCACGGAGTTCGAAAGGCGATTATTAAAAAAAAATAATAATAAAAAAAACGCGTCTCTGAAATTTCATATTAAAATACAAACTAAAAAAAATTTACATTTTTCTTTTCAATGAGAATAATTTAATTTACTTTTTGCAATGTTGTTTTATTCATAAGAAATTTGTTCTACAGAAATATTTCTTAGGGATATTTATATTATTTCACAAAAGTATTCCTATACTCCTACAAGAATATTCCTTAGGTACAGTTAAATTGTCTCACAGAAATATTCCTTAAAAATATTCCCCACAATATTCCAAAGAAACGTGCTAAAGGTGGAATATTTTAATCTTTTTGAAAATTCAAATTCGTTTTTGAAAAATGAATTTTAGCAATTTTTACGAAATAAAAAAATATATAGTTGGAATTGAAAGATTCTCGTTATTTTTTCAATATTCTCCGCGAGAACACGACTTGTATATATAATTAAATTACATGGAATGGAGAATGGCTTTTTCGAGATTCAAAATGGGAAGGGCAAGAGAACTGTGAACACACAAGGGGTAAAAAGGAATGATTCGACGATGTGGTATGGTTGCGAGTTGAATTATATTGGTGGGAAGGGTTTTGGGTTTGGGAAAACCACGATAGGAGAAATCGAGGTTCGATTAATATACATATCGCGCGATCTGTACGGGATTTTAGAGTTTCTACTCTACACGCGCTTTGCCTCCTCGCCTGACTGCAAAACCTTACAACCCCGTGGGCTTTGAATATCAACCAATTTCCTGCCGATATTTGTGCGACGAGCACTTCAACAGCCGTGGAGCGTGAGTGCAATTGCTAATACCTACAAACTTCGTCATTCTCCAATCACTCAATTTCAAAAGAAAGTTACGTTTTTTGTTATTTCTTTATTATTTTTTTTTTATTTCTGATATTGTATATTGCATCTTAACTATACGTCACCGTATAAATTCCTATCCAGAATCATACAATAAAGCATGTTATTGACCACTGATTTAGATCACTAAATTATTTTCCCAAAAAAGATCACTAATCTAGATCATAAATGCAGATTATTATTAATTAATTAATATTAAAAAAAATACATTTTTTTGAAGGGAATAAAAAATTTTTTAGTTTTAAGAAATAATGATTATAAAAAATGTTTCTCCTTCATTTTGCATATGTGATAATATTTGTTCTTTTATCAAATTCAAGTATATATCTGTGTCTCAATTTCTCTTCGCAGTACGAGTAAAAGGCCAAAACTCTATAATATACCATCGCTCTCAGCACACAACCGCCAGTTTCATCAACCTACGATTAATTTTAATCTAAAACCACCAGCAAATCCTCTCACCCTTTAGTTCGCTTCATAACGAAACCAAGATCAACCGCTTTATCCTCTCTTGGAGCAGCGAATATTATAGACTCGACATCATCACTCCCTCCCCCCTTCCCCCTTTATCTCTCCCTTCAATTCCCTTCAAATTTATGCGGTAAGAAAAAGTAAAAAAAAAAAAAAAATTTCGTGGTTCATTCAATTATGAGCGCAAATTTAGTTTAATTATGATTCACTTTATTCTTAGTTTCTATTATTTAATGACGTGATCTATCATTTTAAGTAGAAAAACCTTGTAATAGTCAAACATGTAAAAAATAGCTTTCAAAGTGAAGAAGAAAGTCAATCATACAGTTTATTATTCTTAAAAATTTTCTTATAATCATTTTTTTGGAAAATTATTATTTTTTAAGTAGAATAACCTTGTTGTGGTCAGACAATAATGGTCAAAAAATAGCTTTTTTCTCGACTTACACAATGATTTGGGACAAAATCGTTTCAGTATATAAAAATTATTACATGTTATAAAGTTATAGTATATATAGGGGGTGAAATATTAGAGGATCGGATCGAGATAAATAGACATTTGGGGTATATGTCGTAATCCTCACTGGTCACGGATTAATTAGTGGGTCGGGAACCAATCGCTTTGTATTACCAAGGTATTATTATTATTATTATTATTATCATTATTGTTATTATTATTCAACCATCACTATTTCCACAAGAATAAACTCAATTAATATCAATTGACTCTTCTTTATTTAAAAATATTGTTTAAAGATTTCAATTTTAAACAAAAAAATTAGCAAATATTTCCGCTATTTTTCAATGAAATATTCTTAAGTACAAAAAATCTGTTGTTTTTTTTTTGTGAAAAGTATATATGAATGTATAATGTTGCATTGAGTTAATCCCATGGGTTTAAGATATATGAACAATTTGGCATATCATATTTCGTGGAAAAGGCGAGACTTGAAAACGTTGCGTTGAGACATCGATGCCTACTGGGATCTAGGCTATTATTAACGTAAACTGTGAGTAAATAATTGAAGGGGTTTAATGGTAGAGAGAGAGAGAGGGATACTCTATATATGAGAATGGAGGGTACACAAATATAATCCCCAAGTGAAAACAAAGTAGGTGTATATATCGACAATATGTTTGTTTATAAATGTTATCACTTTAAATTAGTGTGTTGTTTATTTGTACTTACAACTTATTTTTACAAGAAAAAAATTTACTAAATTAATTAGCAGTTTGAAGTAGTAGTTTTACTAATTCTATAGTAAATTTTTTTTTTCTATTAAATTTTACTAATTTAGTAATTTACTAATTATAATATTTATTCTCTATTTTGTTGTAATTATGTATTATTATTAAAATTCTAATTACATTTTTTGTGTAATGTTTAATTATCTAAAAACTGTCAATAGATATCTTGGACATTTTAGTTAAAAGGCAGGCAAAGAGCTTTTGGTTCGGTATATATATACAGTATCCCTGGGGAGAAAACCTCTTGCTTTCTTCTCCCAACAAGATTCGCTTGAATCTAGGATCTTCCCTCTCTCTCAACTTGAAAGCATTCTTCAATTATTCAATTACATATCCTAAGGAATATTCCTGTTTTATATGTGTGTAATTTTTAGAATTATTTTTTTTTCATTTTTTGAAATAAAAAAAAATGAAAATATTTCTTTTTCCTAAAAAGAAAGAAAATTTTTTCCTTTTTCTCAGCGCGTAATTGTTGCTTCTTCTTCTAATGCATCGAAAATCAATTCTGATGCATAATAGATATATACTTTTTGGATTTATTCCCCTCACTCTTATCTTGTTTCTGAACCGTGACAAATCTGTACACAAAAGGATATCCACATTGCGCTGCCCTTTCACGGCAGTAGCGTATATATATATATATATATAACCCATAGACTAACCCATAAATAAAGGAAACGAGGGTTCGCGTCTCGAGTCATTAATCGGACCTTGACTCTTTTCCGGTCTCCCGCCTAATACTGCAGACTATCACAGAGAGAGAAAGAGAGACTTTGTATACATTGACACCCCAAAGTAACGTCGCCAAATCAGAAAAAAAGAAAGAGAAAAAAAAATAGAATCACTTAACTGTAAGCACATTATAATCAACATATTTCTATCGTTTTCAAACACTCGATGTAAGATATGAAACATATTTTTTTTAACTGCGTCTTCAATTACTTCAGAAATTTCTAATTATCATAGTTTTTAATAAAATCATATTTTTATTGAGGAAAATTCCAGAAATGTCAGTGGAATATATATTTCATGCTATTGAGACGCAGTTATATAAAAATACTATTACTGCATTCTAAAAGGATTTAATAAAAAATGGAAATAATTAACTTACGTGCATTCCGTGTTTCCGCATCAGGAGATGAAATATTTGTAACGGATGACGTAGATTCTGTAAAATCCCTATCGGCTGGTTCTTCCTTGACTGCAATATTTTCAGATACTTCTGCACGTGGACTCGATCGACTGCAATTATAATTTTTTCAAATTTAATTATTTCAAAAAAAAATTTGAATAAATAATTATAAATAAACACTAAATATAATAAAATAAAAGTAATATAATAAAGAATTGTGTATTATAATTTAAATAAAAACATTTTTCCTTTTAACAATAAAATTTTTTTCAGGTAGATAATTTTTGTTTTCAAAACTTACCTAAAGCACGACGTAGGCGGAGCTGGACTTAAATTCAAAAAATTACTTGTCTGAGAATTTGAAGACGGTGTTTGATATTGTTGACAATTAACATCACCACTTCGTCTGCAATTTGTTTCCTGTTTCATGTTTCTGTCTGTGAACAAAAATATAAATTAAATATTTTATTATAAACAGTTCTTTTACAATTAAATAAATTTCTAATTAAATAATAATAATAAATAAAATAATAAGAAAAATTTCTTGCTTAAAAAAAATTGGAATAGTCAATTTTTGCAAAAAAAAAAAAATCTTTTTTTGAATTTATTTTCTGAAATGATAAAAAAAAGGAGGAATGGAGGGAGGGAAAAATGAGCGGAGGACAGAATGAAACATAAGGACGCGTGTCGTACCGGAAGTGAGTTGGCGCATCGTTGCAATGGCACGTGGGGATTGTAATGGGGCGCTGACGATTCGAACCATTCAAGGGGTGACTTCGATAAATCAAATAGACTCGGCCGTGGGAAGTACAGGTCAGAAAATTCGTACAATCGTTATGTTTATTGTAAACGCATTTTAAAAAAGTAAATAAATAAAATACCAACATTTATTCAGCAAAGTACGTCAATTTTTCAAAAAAATACGTTTTTTTTTAAACAGTCTTTTGATTTTTTTTTTCAAAAAATCGTATAAAATAAACAAAGGAAATAATATTTTTGCGTAAATATATCAAATGAAATATATTGACTTTTAAATTTTTAATTAAAAAATTTAATGCCTTTAATCTTTTTTTTCGCTGAAAGAAATTGAAAAAAAAATTCGAATTTATTTGAAAAACGATTGTAAATGACATAATATGTACAAAATGCAGGTTTACTTGAACGATTAAATTCTTCTTGTTTGCTATTAATAAGCGCTGCGCTAGACAACTATAAACAGCCCTTGGGCCATTGGGCCAATATACAAGGGTTGATATATATATAGAAAATCTATTGGTTTAACTTCACGAGAGAAGATATTCTACCCTCACAACACAAGCTTCATATTTATTCACTTTTATCTTTTTGTTTACCAAAAAGTTTATCGCACAATTTCATTTTACTCTTTATTAAATGTTGTCTTTACATCATATATATAAAGAGTTAAATTTATATTATTTCTCTAAAATCTCCAGATGCAAATTAAATCCGATATTTGAAACATAAAAAAAATATTGTAAAATCCAAGAAACTTTTTTCAAAATTTTTTGAAATAATATGGAAAAAGTTATAATTATTTTTGTAAAACTAATTAATTAATTAACAATTTGAATTATGTAATAAAAATAATAAAATAATCTCGAAAATAATTAATTCGTGTTTCAAGCTTAAGGGATCAATTTGATTGCGGTTTTATAAGATAAAAAAAATAATAAATGCGCGTATTGATCGAAAATGAATTTTATTAATAAAAAAAAAAGTGTGGGCAAATAGATTTTTAGAAGCTAAAACTTGTTTCATGAGAAAACAAAAATAAATCGCTCGCGATAAAAGGGAGAGAAAAAGAGAGAGAGAAAGTCAAGAATATGCAGAAAAAGTACAGCGCCAATATAAAGTGCTTACTCGCGTAATCCGATATCGATGACCGGGGAACGGAAGTCTTGTGTTGATTTTTTTGCGCTAATTTAAAAATCCAACCAAGAGGGATCATTTTCAAATCAGCCTCTTGGCGATAAACTGTGCAGAAAGTTTCGCAAAAAAAAGTTTCATATTTTTTTTTTATACTTGAGAATTTTTTAATTATTATTACTATTATTATTATTAGTATTATATATTTTATTATTATTATTCAATCAAATATTATTAATTTTTAATTAATTTCAATTCTTCAAAGGATTTTTGATAAATATTTATTTGATAATAGTCAAATAATGGATTATTATTTGAATTAAATAATTTTTTTTCAATATATTCGCAAGAGGCACACACACGCACATACGTATGTGCATCAAACTTCGGAAGCAAATCGAAATTGTCTTTAGTTAAGTGAAATTTGCAGAAACTTGATGATGTTGTTACATTAACGTGCACCTTTTGACATTTCCGTCACACATCCGTTTACCTGGAAATTGCCTTCCTTATATATATAGCGTGCTATGATTTATAATATTATCCTTGATTTGCAACTCCCAAATCACCTTTCAACTAATAATAATAATAATTTGCATAATACAGTCCTTCAAACATTGTTTCATTATTTTCTAATTTTTAGTAAAATATTCAAGAAAAACTATTTTTATTTAAGGATAACAACAACAAAAAACTGCAATAATAATAACAACAAGAAAGTAATAATAAAAAAATTATTATTTTCAATTTTTTTAAAATTAATAATAATTTTAATAAGAACTTACTTGTGTTTCTTTGAAAATCTGTCATATAATGTTCACTATCTTCTGTCTCGCAACTGCTACCTATATATAATTAAGCAAAAAAAAAATTATTCTAAAGTTATAAATTATTTATAAATTAAATATTTTAGTAACTTTTTGTAAATATTATTAGAAATTTAAAATCATATACGTAATTGTTATGAATATTATTATTATTAACATTGTTGTTATTATTATTGTTATCATTATTATTAAATTGTTTGCAAAAAATTTATAAAGACAATATTATAACAAATAGAACAAAAACAGTTTCTTTTTGTTAGTTTATATTTGAAATTTTCATTTGAACAATTTTTTAACGATTTTTTTTTCAAGTCTTGATGTATGTCTCTTTGATATGTTCCCTGGCACCAATCATCACTAACAACTAATCAAACTAATGGAAGTGTCGATGGGGCAATTACAAAATTGTGTGACCCGTCAATTTCTTTTTTTTCAATCTTTCTGTGAAACATGATTCGTCAAATCTTTTCTTCTACTTGTCAACCTTCAATACTTTATCTATATACACACGTATCATATATTATCTGACAAAATATGAATAGAACATAAATTTTAAACTATTAACCTAAATTTGTTTTCATTAAAATTTTTAATTATAGAATTATAGAAACATTTTTTATAGAAAATAATTCAAATATTCTGCCCAAAAAAAATTTGAATAATGAAAATAGTAATTTAAAAAATATTCACCATCTTGAAGCCAAGGCTCGTGTCTGTATTCTTGTGTATGATAAATATCACTCTCTGAAATCATAACAAAAAAAAACAAATTTTACAAAAATATTTTTGCATTAAATGAGAAGAAGAAGATGTAATTTTTGTGTCAATTGCAGTGAGTCATGATCGAAAATAAAGTTTCTATATGACTTAAATAAAATTAGAATCACGTAGAAGATGATAAAGTGTATATATATAGGGGATGATTTAATGTATCCCTGAGATTCGCCACGGGTAGCCACTTGACGTTAACTTTGTTTTGTTCGAATTCAGATCTTGCTCGCCAAATCGAATTCTTTTACAATTGAATCGTACATAAGCTCAATGTTTTTGAATTAGACCACATGGTTTTATTATTTCATAAATTATATATTTTACTGTTCAATGAACCAAAATCTTCTGTTAATTAAATGATTTTAAGTAGAACAAGTAAATCAATTGTCAGACACAAAAACTATCGATTCCTCTACATTATTTAAGAAAAAAAATTTACTTATTTATTTTAAATAATGAAAATAAGTTAACAAATATTTAAATAATGCAAGTTTAAATAATAAAAGAATATGTCATTTCCCTCAATTAATTTCCGTAATAGAAACGATTTTGTGGGAATAGAGAAATTTAATAATAGTCCTATTGGTTAAAAATCTTGTTATCTCTAATTGACCCGTGCGAATTTCAAAAAGGGTTTTACATTGCGATTTTGTGGAAATTTTAAATTGACCACAAAAACTGTATATTCACAATATTTAAAAATTTTGAATTGCAAAAAAAATTGCTTTCATTTCTTTGTAGAAATTTTTAAGCAGAAGAAAATAATATTCAAAGAAAATTCAAAAATGCATGATTTACTTCATTATTTCCTTTAGGAAGCTACTTTTTTAATATGTCTGACTATTACCAGGTCTTTCTACTTAAATTACAAAAATTTCCTCGAAAAAAATACGAAAATTGAAAAAAGAGAGTTATTTTGTTTTTTCCATTAAAAAACTATTTTTTTAATATGTCTGACTATTTTAAGATTTTTCTACTTAAAACGTAATAATTTCCCAAAAAAACAGTAATTCGATTACAAATTTTAATTTATTAATTAAATGTAATATAATAATGTAAAATTAAATTTATGATTATAATATAAAATAATAAAAAATATATGTTCATTGCTTGATATCAGTTGACCTATATATAATTATACAGAAAAGTTAAAGAATTACACATGAGTTTTGATATAGAAATAAAATAAAAGAGATTTAATATATAAGCAGGGGGAGGGAAATTAATATCATTTTATAAAGAACTCCCTCGAGTTTTGAAAACATAAATTCCCATGTCCACATTGCATCTCGCCCTATACACAGCAGATTTTCCCTTCGATGATTGACACTTTATATCTAGCATTGGTATGTAGCGTTATATTGGAACTCTACCAGTGAAAAAGGGAGGACCTCAAAACCACCCCTAATTCGATCACAACCTATAATGCCGCAATTTCTCTATCGTAATCGTGTTATGCCAAAACTCACACCTTCCTCATTTTTTTCTGCCGTTTCAAATTTTAACAAACCCCTTGCAAGTAAAAAAGACTGCGTCGCACAGAGTCATGTGAGAAAAAGTACACCCCATAAATTTTTTTTCGGTAATTCAAAAGTGTGTCAAACTTATTTTCATTTCTATTTTTTTTATTTTATATATAAATTTTTTTGTTGGTCCAACCAAATAATTTAGTTGCTTAAATAACAACAAAATTATTTTTTTATTATAATTTTTGGTTTTTATTATTATTATATACTACTCAGTGTTTATATAAAAATTTCTACGAATTTTAACGTTTTTTTTTTTGAGTGTAATAATAAGAAATCTCTGATGTAAGACTTTATTATAAACGTCGAGAGAACAAGATTTGAGAAATTTTTTCCTTTCTCAGTGACGTTGTGCTCGAAATTAAAGGCTTTGTATAGAGTAAAATATGTGATATGATAGAGTCGATCAACTCTCAAAGTCTCATGGAAAATAAATATTGTCGACCGTGCGATACATATAGAGAGAAAGAGAGAGAGAGAGCGAGTGCAAGACGTCGACCTGCCGACGGGTCGTCGAGTCTGCGAGTGACAGCGTTTTTCAGAGGGTGGTTTCTCTCTCCCTTCTTCTTAACTACTTCGACCCACACTACTTGAAATTACACATGTGTAAGTGAATAACCCTCTACATAAACAACTTATGTATCCACCTTGATGTCCCATCTCATCCTTATATATATATTTTTTTCTTTTTCAACTTTGGTTTACTCATGATTTGATTGTATATAGTCGCACACGCCAAATATAATAATATATAATATTATATATTTTCTTTGTGAATTATTATTTTTTATATTTTCAATATATAACTTTTTAATAATATGTTTTTAATAAATTATTTTATTTTTGAGTAGAAAAATCTGTTTATAGTCAGACGGGAGAAAAATATCTTTTTCTTTATATAGTATATTTAAGGGGAGTAATTTTTCAGTAGAACAAATCAGTAATGGTCAGACGTGTTACTAAAAATTTCTCAGTAAATTATTATTAGGCATTTCTAAGTAGAAAAATCTGTTAATGGTCAGACAGGAGAAAAATATATTTTTCTGTACATAAAAAGGATGTAATTTTGCAGTTGAAGAAATCAGTAATAGGCAAGTAAAAAAAAATTTCTCAATAAATTATTATTTTAAGTAGAGAAATCTGTTAACGGTCAGATAGAATTAAAATCTCTTTTTCATATGCTGTAATTGAACCTTATGAAATATTTATTTAAAAAATGAATAAATAACACTTACCCCGTTGACTTTTCTCGCAATTTGATGTAGTTGATAAAAAATTTGCACAGTATCCAGAACTAACATCGTTTACTGATTCCGATAATCGGCTAAATCCATCTCCAGACTGAAATTCAAACCACAAAAACAAAATATAAATAATTAACGAAATAAATTATTATTATTATTATTTTTTATTATTATTACCTCCACCTCTAAAAAAAATTATTACACCAATTTCATAAAAAATAATACAATTTTACAATTAATTATTTAAATTCAATAATTTTTTTCAAAAATAATTATTTAATAAATTCTAAAAAAGTTTCCGTATTATAAAATCTAATTAAAGAATAAAAATTAAATAAATTTTTATTTTTCTAACAGATAAATTGAATTTACAATGGTAAATTACATTATCTTCCAGGAGAAATTAAATATATTTATTTTTCCGTTAAAAAAAAAATTTTTCGCGAATCTTGATGATTGGGGTGGCAAATTTAGTTAATTTTCAAATGTTTTGTGCAAGAGGGTACGGAGGGGGGGAGGAAGAGGGGAATTAAAAAAAAAGATGCTCCTATATAATAACCGCGAAAATCGATTGGTTCGTGGCAATAAAATAATGACGAAGGGAATGAATGTAGCGGCGACGTTGCGACAGGGTAAAGGGGGTGGGTTGAGGCTGCGGGGGGGGGTATATGAAGAGAGCGAGTCTCTTCTATAAGAGGGAGAATGAGAATCAAAGGAAAGACGAAGCACGAAGGACATCCGGCGAACGATTGGAAGGTTTCCTCCTCGCGGAGCAATCTTGTGGTAAACCCGTTTACCGGCCTTGCAAACTCTTGACTATTAACGCCTATTGGGAAAAACCGCGCCACGATTTCTGATACTCTCGTCTTTTTGAAAAGATGAAAAAGTTTTTTTATTCAAAAAAGAAAGAAAAACAACAAAAAAAAATTGAAAAAAAGAAAATTTATTATTGAAAATCAAAAAATTAATCGCTAATTCAAATTAATTTTAATTTTTGCTAATTCATTTATTTTCATATTTAATTAGTAAGCTTTGGAATATTTATTATTGACATTGCATATACTTTCTGTCGTATATAAGAAATTTAAAAAGAAGAAAAAAAGTGTGATCATTAGGAGGAACAAAAGAAAAGAGCTCGGGTTTAATATTATATATATATATATATATATATATATATATATATATATATATATATATTTCGGATTGAAATAATTACTATTAATGATGGATGATAATGAACGTATATGAAAATTAATATTCATAAGCGATGAAAATATATATAGTTAATTAGAAATTTAGTTTCATTGTGATCATTAATTATCTTATCCCTCGCAAAGCTCATAAATTTAAAGTTTTCTTTGATTATAATTTCAAAAAGTTCTTCTATTTCATTATTTTTATTATTTTTATTAATTAGTTTTTTATTTCTGTTGAATTAAATATTAATATAAATAAAGAAAAAAAATTTTTTAAATAAAATTGACTGATAAAAGAAAACTTTTCTTATATATAAGAAATATATGCAAAAATAGTGAAAACGATTTATCATCATATATATACACAATATATATTATTGTCTTGTGAATAAGTGTTTGAAGAGCGATGTGCATTCAGTGTGTGCAACTCATGATTTAAAGGAACGCCCCATCACTCGTGCAATCGTGACAGTGTTTTAGAAGGGTAGTCACCCTTCGTGAGCATAGTATAGTACATATTCATGTATATATATATATATGATAATTGTGCTCTTCAACCAATTCGATGTGATATCTACTTATAATAAAGTCATTCGTTTCAATGCTTTTGAACAAAATTCGTCCACTTAATATTCCCATATATAGTAATCGAATACAAACTAATTAAAAAAATTATCAGACTAATAATATATGCAATCAATTAAAATAAGTTCTTTAAAACTAATTATGACAAATTTTCATTATTTTAAAGAATAATAATAATAAAATAATATGTTTGGTTGATAAACATTTTTTAAATTTAACTTGAACTAAAGTTTTTTATAAATGATATTTTATCGAGTACATACATTATGTACTTTTAATTTATCTATTCTTTATAAAGAAAAAAGTAACTAAGATGAGATGAGTCGCAAGTTGGAAAAAAAGAAAAGATACTTAGGGTCACTGTGAAACACATAATAAGAAAGAACGAACAATGCTGTTTGGGTGAAATTGGGGAAAAAAGGAGCCTTTGCCTGCGACACATCTATCGTCTAATTGGTTTTTTTTCCACATCAGAATGTGTATACAAAAAGTTTCTTTTCAATGAAAAACGCCGAACTACAGTTTCCATTTATTGAAGCATTTTTTCGATTAGCTTTTTTTTTATTTACCGAATTATTCATTAAATAATTCTTTTTCAATTATTTAAATTATAAATAATATAATAAAATATAATAAAACTATCTCATCGAGTCAATTCAAATAATTGAATGATTTGCAAAAAGTCATGTATATTGTAACACATAGATTGTTTATATGACACGCCTCTCTCGAACCTACCTCAATAAACTTTCTATATCTTCAAAATATAAGTCCCCTAATCATGGGAAAGTCGAGTGGCAACATATGTAAGCTTTCACTATTGGGGATGAAAGAGAAGTCAATTAAGGGCCTATAGTAGGCCGCTGGTGTGGGAATCGAGAAATTTCAAGAGTCAACAAACATAAATCAAGTGTTTCAGTGAGATTGATTTCCAAAAGGATGACAATAGCTTATATATCGCAAAGGGGACCACCCGCCAATAAGTTTAGAGTGGGGGAGATAAAATGCCACTGTAAACTGTCTGACCGTCTTTTTTTGGGGGAGGGGGGGGGACATTTGTACGATATCATATTTTCGTGTATATAGTAAAAGTGGAATATATACATGTATGTATATAAATGTGTGAATTGGAGTCAAGAGTGTTTGCGACCCCTTCGATTTACGAGTGGTTTGATGCTACGTGGTGACAATTACGTGTTTAGAGAACACAAAAGAGGTGGTGTGTGTGTATATTGACTCCCGTGGGACGTATCATTCGAGCGTGGAAGCACGCGTGCCACAAAAATTTACCATCCAAAAAAATCATCATGCGGAACCTGACAGTTCATTTACTTATACACGTGTGTGCATTGATAAATCGCGTATGAGGAAATGTTTTTCTTTTTTGTTCAAAAAAATTAAAAAAAATTAATTACATTAAATAATTTATAAAATAAAATTGTTGGAGAAATAAATCTAATTTATAAAATAAATAAATAAAAATAGTAAATTATAAATAATAATAAATAAAAGGATACACTGAAAAAAAATTTATTTCATTCAAATACTCGATTACTTGACTATAATCAAATAAATACTTACTTGAACCAAATAATTTTTATTTCAATTAAATTAATTGTATTTAAACGAATAATTTCTGTATTTAAGAAACAAATACCATTTAATTCACTCAAATAATAATTATTTTATACAAATAAATATTTATTTGATAACTAGTCAAGTAATCGCGAGTATTTGAATCAAATAAATATTTTTTCAGTGGATGAAACAAATTTTGACCTTTTAATTTTGTTTATTAAAAGTATGTATATTATTTTAAGCTATTCATTTTAAAGAGTAAAAAAATAAAAAGGGTCCTTTTTTAAAAAAAATTCAAAAATATTTTTAATTTTCAAAAAATTAACTAATTTTACTAATTCAAACTAATTTCGATAATTAGCTATATACAAATAAATATGAGAAATGTGGTACCGCTCGGGTACCAATTCCAATTTCCTTATCCTACCTCAGCGTAATCCGAGCGACGGAAAATTATTTTATATTTTTAAAATTACCTTCTCTTTTTTTTATTATAAAAAATAATTTACAATTTATTATTTTATTATTAAATTATAATAAATTATTATTCACAATGAAATTATAATTATAGCAATAAATAAAGAAATATAAATAAATATTTATAACAATAAAACTTGTATCATAAATTGTTCTGTATTTTAAAAAAGCATTAAGTTTTCATTTAAATTAATAATTTAATTTGAAAAATAAGTAAATCAAAATTTTGTTAAACATTCCTTTTTTTCAAAAAATTATTATCTTTTATAAATTAAAATTTTATCTTAATTAATAAAATAAAATAAAATTAATAAAAATTTTTTTCTTACCAGTCTCGTTAATTCGCTTGTAACTGTTGGCACTTCCTGATCAGTCAAACTCATTATCGAACAGGGAATGACACCGTTATCCAACGATCTTGAAGACTCCATCCGTTTGTTTGTTTAATTTTTTATTTTTTAGCACAAAGTATACGATTTATATATAGTAAAGAAAAAATATAATTAAAAAATAATTAAAAAAAAAAGAAAACAAATTTCAAAATAATCTGTTTTTCAAAATTTGAAATACTTGACACTGTTTTTTTATTTTTTTTTTTTTTTGACACAAGCGCACCACGTTAAATATACAATATATATAATATATGATTGTGAACGCACTCAAGATTAAAACTGATATTGAATCGAGAGACTTGATTTCATCGTTGAGCAGAAGAAACAACCCCCGGGGTTCATTTGGCAATATCAAAATCAAGGGTTGTGTCTCTAGAATGTAAACGCCCACATTGTGACGTTTTCCAACATTCGTGCGCGATTCTCGTATTTAGGGGTTGATAATTCCAACCCCTAACCTGGGCGGAGCTCATAACCATTGGATGCTCGTTGTATATATATCTTCTTTTTATCCATCTCGTATATACTAAATTTTATCCTTTTTTTTCTTTTTTTTTTTTTATTCACCTTTTATTCAGTTGAATGTCGAATTGAAATTCTCCAAGATATGTAAACTCTTCTTTGATATACATATTTTTAAATATATATTCTCTATATGCGAACATGTATATATAAAAAGTCTTTGATTTTTTGTTTATAAGGGAAAAATATTTATAAATGAAAGAAAATATCCTGGATATGAAAAATAGAAGGAAAAAAAAGAAAATCCGGTAAATTTTCATTTTTTTAAAATTTGAATGCCATTTTTTCTTTTTTTTTTATTGGGGAGGAAATTTGACGTTACAATAAAAGAAAGGCGTATTTGCCTGGTCGAATATATAATTTTACCTATATTTGATCAAAGTTTATAGATTTTATATTTTTTTCAAGTTCCTCTTAATTTAATAAAAAATACTAAATATTCTACACTCTAAATTTAAATTAGTAAAAATTTTAACTAATTTGAGTCATTCATTCAATTTTTTTGAAATTAGTTAAAATTTACTAATTAAGTAGTAAAAAAATTTTATAATGATTTTTTTACTACTATTTTATAATAATAATTTTTTTTACTAGTAGTAAAATTTAACTAATTTCAAAGAAAAATGTAAGTCACTAATTCAAATTAGTTAAAATTTTTATTAATTCAGAATTAGAGAGTAAAAAATTATTTTAACGAAATATTTTGCTTGAAATACACATAAAAGTGACAAAAAATTGTTTTTGTTAAATTTAAATATATTTTATTGAGTTAAAGAAAAACTATTCTTCTTTTTCTATAAAAATATAAATACATTTAATAAACTAGTAAAACAAATATTTATTTTATTACTAATTATAATTAATGACAATGAAATGAATATTAATATAAAATATTATAATTATTTATAATATAATTATAAATTATATTATATATAAATAAATTAAATATAAACTATTATTAATAAAAATTATTAATTAATATTTAAATAAATATATAAATTATAATTATTTAATTTTTAAAAAAATTTATATTTATGTCTCAATGTTAAAGATATTTTTTTAAACAAAAAATTTCAAAAATATTAAAAAGAAATTTTTAGTTTTTATGTAGTTTTAGTTTTTTTCTTTTGCCAACAACTGAAAATTAAATAGAATTTCGAGCTGGAATATTTATCGTCGTTGGATAATAAAGATCACTGTAGGTATATGAAAAGTTTCTCTTACTGCCCACTCTTACAAATTTACTACTATATTTTATATATAAAAAATATATTTTTATTCAAAAATTATTAAATTAATCTACATTGTCTGCTTATTAAAATTAACTTATGAAATTCTCCATAAAAAAGTGCGCAAATTTTAAATTCAAATTTTGAATCAAACTTTGATTAGATGTCGCCACTGGGCTGAAATAACGAGTTCAAATGAGCGACTATATCTCTTTTTACCGACAGTCGATTAGTTTTCACGAGCAAATTTTGTAATTAATTTTCTTAAAATAAGATTTTTAATAATAAACATATAGATATTTATGAATAAATTATTATTTAATAAACATATATATTTATTTATTTATTTATACTATAAACATACGTATTATATAAATAATGTAGTAAATAAATAATACCGAATAATAATTCTAATTGTAAAAAATAGTAATAATTAATTTTAAATTAATTAATTAAATTATTAATTATTTATCAATAAATATGCTATAAATTCATTAGTAAACGTATTTTTTTATTAAAATAAATTCAAATTTTCGCGCGTGAATACTAATCGACTGTCGGTAAAAAGAGACACAGTCGCTCAATTGAACTCGGAGAATATGAGAAAAACGAAAATTTGGCTCACCTACAAGAGTTAACCAGCCAGCGCGGTCCGTTATCTGGCCTTCTGTCAAAACTTTTATTGAATTATGAGGCCGGAATGGTATTTTTTTAAAAAAAGAATAGAATAATTAAATTTGACAAAATAATGTCATCTCGCGATAAATTGGAAGATGCAGTAGTTAGTGTTTCAATTTGTGTGCGGTAACGTATATGAAGGCAACCTCCAGGAAACAGAGATTATATGAAGTATAATAATGGCCACTGAAGGGGCCATGGTTGCCGATCTACGGGCTGAAATTGAAAGGCTTTACCGTGAGTTGGATCTTGCTTCAACGGAAAAAATACAATCAGCCCAATATGGTCTCGCTCTACTCGAGGAGAAGTCAGCTCTTGAACAAAAGTGCAGTGACCTCGAGTCCCTTTATGAAAATACCAAGCACGAACTCGACATCACACAAGAGGTTAGTTCTACTTTTACATATTTCCTTTATGTACTTTTTTAAAATATTTAATTCTATTTTTGACACATCGTTTTGATTCTAAATGAATTCTTTGTTAATTCATATTTTATTCAAATTTGAAGTATTTATTTTTTTGCTGATAATTATGTTATTGACATTTCCTTTTTTTGGTATTTTTAATTACAATATATATTTGGTTACAGTGGAATATTTTTAAATTTATGTCAAATAAACTTTTTTGTTATCTTTTATTGTGAATTTTGATAAGAATAGTAGAACTATTTCTAAGGCTAATGACATAAGTCGATTCTAATATTTAAATTATCTGCGTGAAAAGACTTAATTACTTTAATTTTTTTGTTCATTTAAATTCAATGTAAGTTGCATTAGCATTCTTGGAAGTAATTTGTCATGTTATTAGTTTGGAAATTCTTTTGGCACGTTGACTTGGCCTCAATTTTTGAGAGAGAAATTTATGTACACTAAAAATTAGATTACACGACGGTATTTTTTTTTTTTTTATTAAATGAATTTTACAGTAAATTTTAATTTACAATAATGTTATTGTCGTTTTTGTATTTATTTTCCAGGCTTTAGCAAAATTCCAGACCACGACCAAGTTAACGACAAAAAGTGGAATAGAACAAGAAGAAAGTCTTCTTCACGAAAGTGCTGCACGTGAAACATCTCTGCAAACAGAAATTATAGAATTAGAAAATGAAGCGAAACAGGTATGGAAAAATATTTAAAAAGTTACGAAAATTACATTCTCTTAAAATAATGTAAATTATAAATAATTATAATTATTGTTTTAAATAAGAAAAATAATTGTTAAAGTACTTATTAATTAAAAATAATAAATTGTTTGGCCGCAGTTGCGACATGAATTGGAGCGCGTGCAAGCAGAGCGAGATCATGCCCTTCAAGAACGTGAGGAAGTGGGCAAGGATCATTTGCAAACGGAGGCTGAACGAAAAACCCTACGCACTGAACTTAGAGAATGTCGATTTCGTGAAACTCGACTTTTACAAGACTACAGTGAATTGGAGGATGAAAATATATCGCTACAAAAACAAGTGTCAGGATTACGTTCGAGTCAAGTTGAATTTGAAGGTGTTAAACATGAAATACGCAGGTTAACCGAGGAGGTTGAACTTCTCAATAGTCAAGTTGAGGAGTTGACAAATTTGAAAAAAATTGCCGAAAAACAAATGGAAGAGGCACTCGAGTCATTGCAAGCCGAAAGAGAAGCGAAATATGCATTAAAAAAAGAACTCGATCAACGTATTAATAGTGAATCAATTTATAATCTCAGTAATCTTGCACTATCAATACGTGGCATTACTGACGATCAAAATCTATGCAGCGATGGCGAGGATGATTCTCCAGTGTTAAGAAGAATTGAGGACGATCTTAAAACACAAGAACCAGGAACATCAGCGGCTGACAAACAAGTTGATCTCTTCTCTGAGATTCATTTGAATGAATTGAAAAAATTGGAGAAACAACTTGAATTAGCCGAAACGGAAAAATCTTTACTCACACAAAATTTACGTGAATCACAATATGCCGTTGAAAAAAGTCAAGGAGAATTACAATCGTTTGTCGCGAGGATCGTTCAATTGGCAGCTCATGTTCAATCTTTACATCATTTACACTCGAAACTACCCGAGCAAAGAGGCGAGGAAACTGCACTTGATAAACTCAATCAGGTTAGTGATTTTTTTTTCCATTTAAATTTGATGAAAGATTTGTTAATAATTTGAAGAAGAAGAATAACTTGAATATTATTTAATAAAATAGGCTATCGTGCAATACCATCAATGGAGTACAATGTCAACTCGGGAAATTGAACAACTGCAAAAGGACTTGGCGGATTTAGAGAAGGGATTAACTGTCTCGGATTCGACGCAACAATTACGAACAGAATTAACGAACTTGAGAAATAAGGTAAGTTTTTCTCATTTAATTTTTGTAAAGTTTTTGTAATTAAATCTGTCATTCAATAATTTTAGAAAGTTAGGGGAAAATTTAAGATAAATATTCTTAAATGAAATAAAATTAGAAAAATTGGAAAAATATAATTTTATCTAATATTCGACAAAAATTATTTTAATACGAAAAAAATCGTTGATTTTAATTTTTACTGAATACATGTATTTTTTTAAATTTAATTAGCAATAAAAAGGATGAGGATTATTCGGTACTGAAGTAAAAAAAAAAGTATTGGTTAAAAAATTGAACCGCGTTATAGAAATGTTGAAACAGAAAAATTATGGCGTTTCAGATCCCCGTGTCAGAGAAGAGCCTTCAAGAAAAGGTCGGAGCTTGTGGCCCCCTTGACGTATTTACCATTCATTTAATAACGACTTGTTTTTCCGCTCCTCTAATGAACTTTATTGATTATGTTAGCTTATCACATTGTCCTAACAGTGTCCTCTTTATTACAAACTGCTTCTGATACTTTAAATATATTATTATTATTATTACTTTAACCGAACGTGACATTTAAAAAAAAAACTGCTGACCAGGGTTGTTTGATTGAAATCAGGATTCATGCTCCATTATTCCTTTACAAATTACAAGCTGACGATTCAACTCCCATTCAATGACAATTATTATTAATCATCAATAATTTCAAAAGAATTTTTTAATGTTTCAAAAACATAATATAATAGTAATAATTTGGTTTTACTAATTTTAGGTATTACCTTTAAATGAAAATCATGATTTTCATCAACCCTGTTACCGTTGCATTCACTAATTTGTGAATTTCTCTTTCCCGACAAATGGATTTGATTACTGTTGAATTGAAAATTTAATTACTTGTTTATAATTAAATGTAATTAAATTTGTTTTAATTTTCAATAATTTCAAATTTAATGTGTTTTTAATTCTAAATTTAATTACAATTAAAAAATTGTTTTATATTTTTTAAATTTTAATTAAATTTTTTCAAATTTTTTTCAAAAATTAATTTCAAATTAAACATTTTTAATTATTTTAAAAATATTTTTAACTTGAAGAATAAATAAAACAAAGAAATTTCAAATCCATGCGTTGGCAATTAAATTGCGAATGATCATCTTTCGAAATATGACGATGAATAGATATCAACAAAAAATTTTAACGGCTGTGCACAATGGCTTTGAGGAAAGAATGTGCTTAAAAATCATTATATTATTTTATTGATGAATTAAATCTCTACACTTCTAACGTAAGCATGATTCGTATTCGCAGAGCCTGTATGCACGACAATATTTGCAATAATATTGATGACATTCAAAAATATACATTTTTTCAAATTTAAGGATCTCTCAAAATCATCGAAATTCCTGTACATATAAATGAAAATCAATTTTTTCATTTTTTTTTCTCTCCAATCATTGAAACTTTTCTCTGTAAATTATTATTTTATTATATAACTTTTTAAATTATTTATTAAAAAAATTATTTTATTTCATAAATTTTTTTATTATTAAATTTTCATTGTTGTAAATGTTAAAAATTAATTTTAGAAATAATTATGCAAAACTGTTAAGAAAAAAAGTTATCTTAAAACCATCTATAATTCTTAAATTAAATGTACTTTCAATCTCTTTTCAAATAGCATGTAAATTCTTATGCTTTTATGCTTTTTTAACTTGAAAAAAATGTAGAATTAGACATTATTAACTAAGCACTTTAATTTAAAATTAAAATTAATAAAAAATAGTTTAAAAAATATTTAAACTTAATATTCCAAAGTTATTTTAAACAATTGTAAAATAAAATTTTTATATCTAGATAAAGATAATTTTTTTAAAATTATTTATATTTTCAGAAAGTTAATTAATTATTTCTTATTGTTATTTTCCTTAATTTATTTACTATTAGAGCTATATTTTTATATTATGGTAAAATAGGTAAATTATTTTCTAATTTTATAGAATTTCATTACTTAATTTGCAATATTTATTTTTATAGATTCGAAACGTTTCAATGAACCTTAAACTCACATCCTTTTTTTTAAATAAGAAATTAAATATTACAGACTAAATCATTATTAATTCCCAAAAATAAAAATGTTAAATAAAAAACTTTTTTGTGCATTTCGATTAAGTGACCCTTCCAATACCAAATTAACTACAATGTTTGTTCACCCGAGATTATTTTTTTTTTCTTTTGTCTATAATTGATCTGTGATTTTTTTTATGATTTTTATTAATTTTTCCTTCTAGCTTCTTGACACCGAACAGCGAAGTATGCTGCTAGAATCGGACGTGAGTATTCTCTCAAAATTAGCGGCAGAAGCTGGAAGTTCTCTTGATTCAGCTCAAAATGATTTACAAAATATGTCCGATGAATTAGCTCAATTATATCATCATGTTTGTACGGTGAATGGTGAGACACCATCGAGAGTTATTTTAGATCATGAAAAAATTGTCCCTGAAAAAGAAGAGGACAACGAGAAAATTGAATGGTGTCGAACACTATTTAAAACAGATATTAAAATTAAAGATCTCGAAAGTCTCAGTAAAGCAAAAGAAATTGCCAAATATATTGAGACTGCAATGGATCAAATAAAACATTTGCGAAGCGCTGTTGAACACACGATAGAACTTTCCAAACTCAAAGGCATGCAAACAACTATGTGCAGTGTTTGTGAAGGTAAATTTTTTTCTTTTAATTTATATATGAAAATAATTAAAAAAAAAAGAAAATTACACCCAGTCTTTATTCAAAATGACTGAAATTATTTTTTAATATAATTTTTATTGTCTACTTTAATTTAAATTTTGATTCAAATCATTACAGCTCTGATTAATATAGTAATTAATTAAACTGTAATTTTGAGTAGTAAATAATAATAGCCTTTGAATTTTCAGCCTCGGTCAATGAAAATAAAGTTGAGGTCTCGGATTTGCAAGAACAAGTTATCAAATTTAAAGCTTTACTTTCGGCCAAACGAGAACAGGTTGCAACGTTGAGAACTGTTCTCAAGTCAAACAAAAACACAGCGGAAGTTGCACTAACCAATTTGAAGAGTAAATATGAAAATGAAAAAAGCTTCGTTAATGAAACGATGCTTAAATTGAGAAATGAACTCAGAGTGCTAAAGGAAAATGCTGCAACATTTTCAAGTAAGTTTTTTTCTCATATTTTTCCATTTGTTTTATTTTTTGCTAAATTATTTTTTTTTCATTCACGCACTGCAGCAGGGTTCGAATTCATTTTTTTCTCAAAACAAAAGTGCAGTTTTTCATTACAAAATAATTTTTATAATTAGCATAAAGAAAGAAAAGCAATTAATTAATTGAATTTTTAAATTAGTTTTCATTTATTGAAGAATATTTTTTAATCTTGTTTTTAGATTTCTATTTTAAAAACCCTGCGCTGCAGTTATATTTTTGACAATTAATAAAAAAAAGCTTAACAATAAATAATTAATAAAATAATTTTTGAGCAAGAATTTATTTTTAATAACAAATAATGAGTAGAACGTTTTCAAAAACAAAATCCAATTATGCAAATTTATTGTTTTGTTTTTCAATTTGTCCTTTTTTTCACAAAATAGTCAGAATTATCAATATGAAAAGCTGTACTAATTTGAGTGTTTTCTCTTCTCTTTCTCCTTTTTTTTCTTCCACTAATACGCACTTAACACACTTGCTAACACGCCTCTTGTAGTATTAATACAAATAGTTCTATTAGTGTGGAGTTGTGCTACTGTGGATCTTACTGCGGATTTGGTGGTTTGCATTCGCAATTCTCGTACTGCCATTTAACAATGCCATAACATTTCCTCAAGAGAGATTTATTATACAAAACAAAACAAGAAAAAAACAATTAATAATTTACTAACAGCCCCTCGTGTGTGCCAAAGCTAGTCATTTTTAGTCGTTAAAACCAGCTCAATTATATATATATGTACAAAAAAGGGTGTTTTCTTAAAAGATATCACACTATGATTTTTTCGTTTTTTTAGTAAGTTGTAATTTTTATAATCATTTTCCAATTTTAATTATAATGTAGAATTTTAATATGAAAAAAACACGGGTTCTCGCACTTTGTTTCACAAAAAGCAATGCATGAAATTTGCAATTTTTATTAATTTTTTTATAAAATAATTTCTCGTATTATTTCTCGTATTATTATAATTGGTTAATAAGTGTAATAAGGAATAAGTGATTCGATATTTCTGAGATTTCTTTCTAATTTAATTTTTACGTGACAATAATTAAAGTCAATTAATTTAATTTTTCTATTTTAACTCAAAAACTTACATTCTCCACTATGTAAATTAATTATTAATTCTTTTATTAAAATATTGATCGATTTTGAAACAAAAAGATAAACAAAAATTGAATTTGATCTCAAATCGTGGAATCGAATTAAATTTGTTTTTTATATTAAAATACGATTTTTTTAAATATAAATATTACAATATTTATAATTCTAAAAAATCCAAAAACTTATTTTTAAATAATTTTTTTTAAATAGAATTAAAAAATATATATTTCTCTACCAAAAAGAAAAAATAAATAATTTGAAACATCGAATCACAGTCGGACCTAAGTAACTAAAAATGAATCCGATGTCCTCTATTTAGAAAAACTTTCGCTTTATCCTTTCTTCGTGTTAAACCCTGCTAACCATACACTTCCCAGGTTTACGTGCAATGTTCGCTGCTCGCTGCGAGGAATACGTGACACAAATCGACGAGCTTCAACGTCAATTAACAGCCGCCGAGGACGATCGCAAAACATTGAATCAACTTTTACGCCTTGCCGTGCAACAAAAGCTCGGTCTCACAATGAAATTAGAAGAATACGAAGTTGATCGTGAATTAAGAAATACACGAAGACACGCGACTGGTGGAAATAGAGGCGGTCGAACACCTCGATTACCACAACAGACGAACCGTCCGCACATGGGCAGAGAGTTCTTCTAGAAAATGGTTAAGATGTGGAGCAAAATATTTTGAGACAAAAGATAAGTTTTTAAAATTACACGACTATTTAATAATATTAATAATAGTTATCGACTATTTCTTATTTATATTTTAAAAAAATACGACTATATTTTATAGTCGATTGAATCGATTGTTTTTATTAATCGAAAAAATCTCGTTTCTGCTCCACGCTGCGGAAATATTTTTACAAAGAAATAAATTCACGCGACGAATAAATGATGACGCCGTCCTCGCTTCGTTTTGAAAATTTCTTTTTTTTTTTAGATTCGTGGAGCGAGACAATTTTAAAAGAAAAAAAAATTTCAAGCGATTTCAAAATATTTTGAATATCGAACGCTTGTCCAAATGAATTTTGCTCCATATCGTAGCAATTGAGTGATGCTCTTCTCCTCATTGCCAGTATCGTTAATTAAAATAAAAAAAAGGAAAAAAAGTCCAAGAATCATATTACGCTTTTCGAATTGACTTCTTGTTGAATAAGAACACGTTAAGAAAAAATAAGTCAATCGACAATGCGATCTACAAAATATTTTTTTTTTTTTTTTGCTCATTTTAAACGAATACGATTTTAGTTGTAGATTAACGACTAAAAAGAAAACAATTCTCAAGAATTTGAAATTTCATTTTTAGATGAAATACAACAGAGATTGTATTATATGGTAGAGACAATAGTAAGTCGCCAAGTTTTTTAGTGCTTATAATCAAATTAGAAAATACGAGTTGCAACTACATTAGAAAATTAATAACGATAGTAAGAATGACTAATGATTTAACAATTTATTTTTTAAAAACTCATCAATTTCCCTCCCTATGATATATATTATATTTAAATCTTTAACTCGTATAGGAGTTTTTTTTCCCTTGTAAAATAAAAAAGTATTTTATTTTACTATCTATAATCAAACCCTTAGTCAAGGGAATTCAATTAGTGATACTAATTAAAGATCATCTTTTTTAAATACGAAATTGCGTAGAAGTTGAATTTTTCTTGATTGGACGGTAACTTAATTCGTCTGTGATTTCACGTATTTTTTTTCGTCTCTCGACTTCTTTTAATTTGCAATTTCTTTTTTAATAGAAATTTTTAACGACTCACGTGCTTTATCTATTCAATTTTAATTTTATTTGGGATGCATTAATATTTTTCCAAAGAAATCTGTTAGTCTACATTTTTAGTAAATCGACTAAATAAAAATTTGACATTAAAAAAATCCAATTCACTGGAAATTTTGACTAATTGATTTTATGGAACATCTATTTATCTCAATTGTTCGATTGTATGAAAAGCATTTGTGTAATTAAAAAAAAATTAATCTCCTAATTTTTATTATATAAAGAAAAGAGAGCCAATTATAAGATTGGCTGTATTATTATAATTGTAATTAATTCGATTTATCAATGCGTCCAAAAAATGGCTTTAAAATGGCAGCTTGTTGAATTTTTAGTATTTATCGTCAATATTGACAAATTATATCATCACTAGTAACAATGTTATTATTTTTTGTTTTCGTTTTTGTGAATGATTTGGCTTATAAACAGTCTACGTCAAAAATTGCATAATAAATTTTCAGCATAATTTAATTTTCAATATAATAAAAAAATATTTTTTATTATCTGTTCACAAAAATGTTTAAATGTATAAAATTTTTTAAAAACTTTTTTTTTAAAACTATATAAAAGAAAAATTGAAATATTTTAAAATTAAAATATTTTCATTTTTCAGTACTTTTATTAATGAAATAAAATTTTGACAGAGACTGTCGCAACACTTTTTAATGATGCGATTTTTTTTTTATCATAAATTCACAATTTTCTGACTGATTTAAAAAGAAATCAAAATTTATTTTATTAAGTTGTTAATTTAAGAATTAGAGAAAGAAATTGTATAAGATGAATTGTGAATTTTTTTAAGTTTTCTTTTTGAAAGATATGAATTTATTTTGTTGATATAAATAAAATAAATTCCTTATCATATATATATAGGATCATTTTTGATCGATATTTAATTGTAATAGTTTTTCAATATTATTATGAAAATGTATATCAATTTTAAATGTTGTTACTTTCGCATATATACGTGAGACGCTGATTTTTTTATTTTTAAAACACTACATTGTTTGTCATTGTCAATTTGACTTTTGTTATATTAACGATAATTATTATATTGTACATTGGCATTATGAGCGATTAATTTTAAAATGCTGACAATGAAACGAAAAAAAAAATTACGATCTATTTGTATGTAGACAAGTTTCATATATATATATCTACGGTTTAAAAATATTATTTTACTGATTGTTTTTCTCTAATATTTATATATATATATAGATACATATTTTAGATTTATATTTATACAAGATGATTTTTTTTAACAAGTCATAACAAATGTCCGCCTGTTGTATTGTTAGCGAAAATTAAGTATTTGGTTCTTTTTTCATTTCTGAATAAAAGACACTGCTATTTTATTTTTTGAGTTTGTTTATTTATATTTTCATTTCATTAATGACGGAATATTATTTTGGTTTTCATTTTTCAATTTTTAATTTAATTTTATTCTTTTTTATTTATCAATAATTTAATTTAAAACAAATTTTTATTTCGTTATTTCATTTTCTTTATAAAATATTATAATAGCAACGAAATGAAAACTGAAAAATTTTTTTAAATAAAAAAACAACTTTTCTACTATGCTACTGTTAAAATTGTTTATTGTATGAGATTTAACGCTTTTTGTATAACTTGAATACGAGTGAAGTCAGTTTTTGTCCATAAACCGAGCCAGCCTCAGATCACCGTCCCTTCCCTTTCTTTCACACCACCGTTAGGAATTATTTTACCGATTTTTTTTTTGTTTTTGTTTTTCCTTGCCGTCCGCGCGTCGCTCAATTTCCCTCGATATGACGTTCTTTATCGAAAGATTATTATTGGAAAATGGTCCACACGAGGAAATAACTCTCAACACTAAGCTATTTTTAGATTGTTGATAAATTGTTAAGATTTACTAAAATAAAGAAAAAAAAAAAACTCCATCCTTGATAAGAGACTGAATTTATTTTATTCTCACCGATAAAAAATGTTACTGATTATGTCTTATGAGAATCTTTAACTTGAAAAATTTCTTTTTTCTCGAATAGAAAAACAAAAACAGAAAAGTTTTTTGATGTTTTAAAGAATATGAATTTCAAAAAAGTATTTTTCACTCTCCTTCTTACTCTCTTTCTATCATACTTTATTTTCATTTTAGATTTAAAGATTTTTAAAGTTCAAATGCGTTTCCAGTCTGACGTACCGGGAATTTGATTGCTTTGAAATCCTTTCAACTTTTTTTTTCCATATTCTCACTTTGTCTTATTTACCCCGAGTCCTTTCGAGTGCTTTGAACTTGTTTTCGTTACGAATTTAATTTACACAGTTTATATATGAAATATGTTTTTATGACTTTTACTTATATATATGTAAAATGTTGATATATTTCTCATTTAATTAAATAATTGAGAAAAAAATTTATTTCAATTATTTAATTATATATAATTTGGAAAAAAAAATTCCAAATGAAATTTGAAAGAAATTTTAAACAAATTCATATTTGTTTTTTTTCGAATTTAAAAACTTGTCCAAATTGTTAAAATTTATTAAAATTTAAATAAATCAGTGTAATAATACATTGAATTAATATTTAGAAATGATACCTATTATTTTTAATTATAATTAATTATAATAATTTATTACAATAAAAATTTTTAATATAATATTTTTATTGATTAATAACATAAAATTCGGCATAAGTTTAAAGATAAATCAGAAGGAAATAAGAAAATAAATTACATTTGTAAAAGTAAGAAAAAATGTTTGTTATATAAATAAATAAATCTCTACTTACGTGCCATATATGAAAATCCTAGAGGAAAAAAAAAAAATAAAAAAAATTTACTCTCGCCTTATTTGAATTACAATTGCGTCCCTTTAGGTACCTATATACAAATCCTTACGGTGGTGTGTGTGAGTTTTCTGTAACAATAATAATATAGAAAGATATCATTATCTAGTATTATAAATAGTAATATATATATATAAATATATAAATAAAATATACATATTATACATAAATACATATATATCTTGTAAAATTATTTATTAAGCAAAATTGTAACAGAATTTGAATTATTTATTGGGAGTATTGATGAATAATTATAGGAATATATTAAATGTATCATATAAATTTTTTTCGATGATGAATGAATATGTTTGCACTTTTAGGGTCCATGTCGTGCGCTCTATTGTTATATAAAATTACATTAAAACTCAAATATTGTAATATTTCTAAGCGAATGAGGAAAAAAATTGTTATTTATACAAGATTATCTTAAATATTTCGTAAATTCTTTCCTGACTCTTTTAAAGGTATTTAATATTCATGTATTATTATAATTATAATTAATTAATTATAATTAATTAATTATAATTAATTAATTATAATTAATTAATTATAATTAAAATAACAATACCGATAATGATAATATCTTTGCAATAATAATAAATTATATTAAAGTTATTTATTTTTAATAAAATTAAATAAAAAAAATATAAATTAGGTAATAATTTAACAAAAAAGAAATCAATTATGACTTTTAATTGGAAATATTTTCAAATATCATAATTCTGATTTGAATTATAAATTTTGATTAATTAGTAATGAACTTTGTAATAATTTAATGAATCAATTTTCCATATTATTTCGGAGCTTGTAACTAATTAATTACCTTAAATCATAATTTAATTGAAAATTAAAAAAAAATTTATTGAACCATTTAATTAAAAATTGATTAACTTTATTTTATTAGATAAAAATGATAAAAAATAATAAATAATAATTTAAAATATATAAATACAATAATTTTATTAAAAACTAAATAATTTTATCAAAAAATTAAATAATTTAAAAATTGTCTAAATCATAAAAAAACTGGATGAATATAGAGCTCAATTAATTTTATTTAAGAAAATCTTGTAAGCTATTTCGTATTGATTTTTTTTTAATAAATATCGTAAGTCATGGACTATAATAATAAATTAATTAACTAATAACAATTAGGCAATTTTAATGTTTACACACTGTTGCACACTCTATATAGTTATTATTGTTCTTGAAATGATTTTCTTGTTCTTACATTTCATAATGGACTCGATTATATGTAAATAATGTAAATGCACTTTTAGAGTTGCTTCCTGGCAGAAGAGAATCCCATTAGTGTTTTTAGAAAAAAGCATAAAATAATATACAATTTTTATTATAACGACCAATCCTTTTCATTATAATGTATGTGAAATAAGATTCACACACCATTATTCAATACATATATAAATATTAAACTAGGGGAAAATTTGAATTTTTGCAAAAAAATACCAGTGGGATATTCTCGTATTTAAAATAATAATAATAGTAATAATAATAGTAGTCATTTTATAAAACTTGAGGTAGAATGATTGCCCATAAATTTAATAATATATTTAATCGAGTGTGATGTGTGCATTATGCAAAACTGAAATATATTTGATAAGTGCGCTTTTTTGACAGTTTTTTGATAATTAAAAAAAACACATTTCTTTTCTTTATCTTTGAAGCAACGATTTAAAAAAAATTGTCCAAAGTAGATTGTGAACTAACATCATCATACGTATATTTAGATTGTAATTTTATTTAAAGTAATAAATTTAATAAGTTTTTTTGATTCTTTTTTTTAAATAGACACGCGGGAGAATGAAAAAGAATATAGAGTTTAAAAAAACATTTCTTTCACTTTTGATTAATTTAAGAAATTTTTTTTTTCAGAGTTATTTTTATTTCAATGATTTCAAACTTTTTTAAATAATTGTTTTATTTTTCAAAATAAATAATTTTTAATCTATATTTTTTTACTGGTCGAATTATGTCTACGTGTCTATTATAATGATGGAAACTTTAATTTGATTACATTTGAATGATATTTGAAAGTTGAGATTAACAAAAAAAAAGAGTACATAAATATGCATTAATTGCATTGGGAAACCGTTTTGTAATATAAATTTAAAAATATCAATAATCATTTGTAACACAAAAATGTTTATTTCTCTTTTATCCCCCTTCCAATATTATTTTTACTGAAAATTAATAATTACTTTTTTTTATATTTATTCATAAAACGCATAATTTATATTTTCATTAATTTATTAAATTAATTAGGTTAATTAATTAAATAGAATTAAATTTTTATAGCTCAATATCAATTTTCAATCTATTAATAATAATAATTTTATATGAAATAAATATTTAAATAAATATATCGAAAAATCGTTTTCAAAATTGGACTTTTTAGCTACATTTTCTTTCTTTTTCGGACGTAAAAAAATATTAGGCGTGACTAATTAATTAGCAATTTGACTTTTATGAAAATATAATAAATATTTAGAAATTATTTTCTTTCGTTTAAAAAATAATAATAATAGTTTATAATTAAAATTTGAAATTTTAAAAATTATTTTTTTAATTTCTTAACGATGGCCTTGGAAAAGGCCAAGAGCTTTGACTTTCTGAGTTATTTTTTATTTTTTGTTAGCCCCGGTCGAATGTTTCATGATATTGGAATGCCATAAATATATACGCACACACTTACGCACACTAGCGTGAATGTATTTAACGTTCCTATACCTCTTCTCCAATGATCCTCGCGGTCATGCCGCAATAATAACTCTGGAATTAATTACGCTTCTGACTCGTCGAGGAATTCTTTGCCATTTTGGATCACAGCCAAAAGGCAACACACACATTTTAATACAAAATTCACTATACAATTTTATATATTATACATTTCGAAAATATTTGGCCAAATATAACTTTTCTTTTTAACTAGAGGGTATCCCCTGACTTTTTTTTTCATTTTTTTACCGTATATATACGAATTAGTCAAAATGTTAAAAAAAAAATTTTTGCGTTCAATTAATCAAATTGTGTATATGGTAAAATAAATATAACAATAATTATTAATTAAATTATAATTATAGAATTAATTAATATTATATTCATAATAATTAATTATTTTTATGTTAATAAGTAAAAAAAAATTGGAAATAAAACATTATTGTCTATTTCATGATTGATTTATTTACAATTAGAGAAACACTTTATTGATTGATTTGAAGGAATGTAATTAAATGATACAATAGAGACAATAGATTGGATTTTCGACAGTAATCATTTGCTATCACACATATATAGATAGATATAGTAAAATACAAGGTAAAAGCGAATGATCTGGAACCTGGCGGTCTGACCGAAATTCTCTATAACTACTGTGAACATCTGACCAGTAGTTAATTCCAAGTTTAGTAGGACAATAAATTTTTCTACTTCATTTTATAGAAAATAATTGAATTTAATTAGAAATAATTTTAGAGTTTCTAAATTCCCACCCATTTGATCGGTATAAAATTTCTCAACTCAATATATAATTCGAGAAATGATTTTATTGTGTAATTTTTGCGAATATACATAGTGCATCATCCGGAAGAAATAGGTGTGCTATATATTCGAAAAGAATTGTTGTTTTTATTTTGGGCTTCTCGGTTCGAAGCCCCCGCGATAGTTTATCTATGTATGTGTCTGTGCGTTCAGTTGCATGAATTCTCTCTCACAGTCGATGGACCTGACCCAATTGGAACGTTGACGAATCCGTTCGAGAGGGCATTCTATTAAGTTCTGAGAGGTGACATGCCTGACGGTTCACGTCGGGCAAGGTTAGCAGGTGACCCTCAAAATTATAAATAACTATGAAACATCTTTTCTCTCATTGCAAACGTGTAACGCGCCTTCTCTTTTGGGATATGCTGCGCGCAACTCCGCGCATCAGATTATTCCACCTCAACCGGAACTATATTATTTCTTCTTCTCCTCCTTCTTCTTCTTCTTCTTCGTTGTTGTTGTTGTCGTATATATATACACGACACAAAATAGAATTTAACGAGCAAAGTTTAAACTATTTTGACACTACTTTGAATCTACTTTAAACCTTTCTTAAATCTACATTGAACCTACTTTTGAGCCTATGTTGGATAAATCTATTTTTAAAATATATTAGACCCGAATTAATACTACATTGAACCTACATTAAACCTACTTTGATCCTACATTAATCCTACTTTGAACATACATTAATCCTACTTAGTCCTACATTGAGTCTAGATTGAACCTACATTAATTCTAATTTAACATTAATTGAACCGATTCTAAATCTGCATTAAGACTACTTTAATAATTCATTGGACCGAAATTAGTGCTACATTGAACCTGCATTGAGCCTACTTTGAACTTACATTAATTCTACTTTGCAGAAATGGAATTATAAAAATTTGCTCTGAAATGTTTCTATGGAATATTTTTTTGAACAGCAAAATGGAAATTCTGTCAAATGTGATTTAAGTGATTTAAGAATTTATTCATAGTAAATGCAAATTCGCGTGTAAATAGAAGTTGAAACTAATATACTGAAGATTCAGGGAAATGGAAATCGTTTAAAAAAAAATTCATCTGAGTAGAAATTTTGTGGTTTACAGTGGATGAATTTAAAAAAAAAATGCTACCAAATTTTTTAATATAAATGAGTGGGTTCACGTTAACATCATTTATATTTAGAGTTTTTTTTTTGAAGTCATTTTCTAGAATTCTGAAATGATCCACTGTAAACAACTGATCCACTGTTGTCCACTCTCCCCTATATATCAAAAAGAGATTTAAAGATTTTATATTCTTTCCTTTTGAAAATAAATTTCCATATTCTTTATAAAAGTTCAAAGTTGACCTGTTTATATTCGCAAGGCAACTTTTACACAATTTCCTTCATTTTGTGTTCTCAAGACTTATATATATAAACAGACATCCAATTTGTAATAACTGCGTGCGGAGAAAACAATCTTTTCTCAGACACGTTGGAAAGAAAATTAAAATCCTGAAACTTTCCTCCAGGGAAACTTTTGGGAAGTTCATTTTATATTTAAAATCGAAGAAACGATCTTAATTTAACGCGAGAGAGAAAGAGTGGTTAATGTTCATCTCGAAGTAAAATACTATCACAATATTATATATATATTTTAAAAACTATTTTAATTTTGATTTTATTAACAATTTTTTTTCCTTTTTCCTTAGAAATCGAAATTCGAACCATAAAATAAATTATTTTCTTTAAAAATTTTACCTGTAAAAAAATTTATTTAATTCAAATTTTGCAACACATATCAACAATGAGAATCTTTAAAAAAAAAAAAAAATCGCGTGTGACATCTTTGAATTGTAGGTCACATCTTGCGAGTTCTTTATAGAAAAGGGTCACTCGGTTAATGGAGCAATTGACGTCCAAACATAAACAACTTTTTTTTTGAAAAGATATTCAGAAATGAAGGGTTGAAATGAATTTCAGGTCAATCTCAAATCACAAGGGAGAAGAAAATAATAACACTTAAACTTCGTTATCCATATCTTTGACTTTGACTTCGACATCGACCTGGAATATTAATTTACCTTTGATCTATATACTGATGTGTGAACCTTTATATATCAATTGCGTTTGCAAAAGGTCTTTTCTTCATTTATTTCAATTGTCAATTTTTTAAAAATAAAAATAAAAAATTTATTCTGCAACTAGAATTAGGTATACCAGAAAGACTATATATATGTTATATTCATTAGACAAAAGAGACAATGTCACTGCGCACACACTGCATACCAAGTATATTTTAATCTTGTTTTTATTACATCCGCCAAACATATTCTAAAACAGATGAGAATCTATTCTACCCTGCTCAGGTCCCAGAAAGACAATAGTACAAATTTTAACGAATATATTTTAACTGCCAAAAATGCTGCAAAGTAATAGTTATCACATAATTTGAATATTATTTTCAAAATCTTTATAAATTATTTAGAAAAAAAAAAAAATTTAATTAACAATTTATTTAAAAAAATTTTAAATGAAAATTTGTTTAAACTTAAATATATTTTTTTAAAATTGTAAATAACTTTTTCTGTTAAAAATTTATTGTAACTTTCTTTCGGCTTTTCTCGAAAATGTTATACAATATATTGAATGCAAAACAAAAAAAAATTGTTTCCCTATAGTTTTCGCTTGAATCGCACCGAGTCGAAAGGAGAAGTTGTAACAATTTCGATTTAAATTCTTGTTCGAATATATAATCCATTGAATTTTTCTGGAATAAAAATTGAAGAAATCTGTGAAACGACTTCAATTGTATATGTGACTTTGAATTTTCGAGAAACGTACAATAGATGTATAGAACATATACATATATGTATATAGAAATGCCTGTGATCTGAAAGTGATCGTCTGACCAAAAATATTTGTATCTACTGTGAAACACTTGAGCATTGATGGAAAATATTTTTCTCAATTTCTTTTCTAATTTACCAAAACATTTTTTGTTTATTTTTTAGTGTTCTCAGAAAATTTTTTTTTATTATTACCAATGGCTGAAAAAAATGTTATTTTAAAGAATTTTAAATTAATTTTTAAAATACGGCAAAATTATTTATTTTTAAATAATGATTTTAGACCGTATTAATTATATTAAAAAATATCAATAAATTAAATTTTTACTTTCGAAAATTAATATTTTAAATACTGTAAACTAAAAATGAAGTTGTTAGTTGAAAAGCATGCGTGGTCCCGTGACTAGAGTTCTGGACTTGCGAGAAAAAAAACCAGGGTTCGATTCCTTCCAAAGGTGAGATTTTTTCAAACAAAATTACTTCAACATACAAAAAATAGAAATTACAGCTGTAATATTTCCCCCAAAAAATAATTTCCAGATATAAAAAAATATACGTTACGTGAAAGAAAAAGGGTCATCGGACCTTAACCTCAACGGCAAGAAACTAAAAAAAAAGAAGAACAGAAAATGTCTGATGCTATATAGAAAAACTATATATATATGTATATACAGGTATAAAAAAAAGTGAAATGCGAGAGAAGAAGATTTGACAGTGCAGAGCAAGTTGCCGAGTGTCCTCGGAATCTGCGGCCACGCCCTCGGCAAGGAGCGACGGCGACGTCGACGCCGACGCCGTTCGAGTACCTCTTTCTCTCTCTCTTTTTCACTACCTCTTTCCGTCTCGCTCCCACATTTCCACTCTTGCCCCCCCTACCACCACCCACAGCATCCTCAGCGATTCCAAAACCAACACTCGTCAACGACTCGAATGAAACCAGTGTCCCTCCGATCGTCAACGTTACACTATATATCCGTTGTCGTCGTCGTCGTCGTCGTCGACGGTTTAAAACCGCGACGACGTTTATATTCATTTCCCGGTTTGTCGACGTCGCGCACTGTTTTATTATTTTCTTGTGCGATTTAATAAATTCGTGACTCATTTTGCAAAATTAAAAAAAAAAATTAAATTTACTTTCTACCATTTCAAGTTTCGCGCCATTATCCCTTTTCCAAGATTGTCAACCTGTACCTTTCAACCCACCCCCCCAACCCTTTTTCTGATCCCCGCCATATATCATTCGCCCGGCAGCCGTTGTTTTCGTGACAATTTTACAACGATTTGCCGGTATTTTGTGAAAATTTTTTGTTACTCCCTCTTTCTCAACAGCGAATGTTAATAGCCCCCCCCCCAAATTGTTTTTTCAGTGCGTGGTCCTTATGGCAAAATTGTGTTGGTGATTATTACTTAATTTGATTCACCTTCACCACGGTATGTGAAACTAATTTTTTAATTTTTCGCATGAATAATTTTTTTTTATGTCTATTGATTTTGTAATTAAAAAAAGTTAATAATTAATTTTAAAAATTAATTCATAGCTAGAAACATTGTTGCATTAATATTGATTTATTAATTAAAATTTAACAGTATTACATACAAGAATATGCTTTTGAACCAGATGGACCATTTTCTTTTAAACGGGACATTTAGAAAAATTTTTGTAATTTTTTATTAATTTATTTTTTCATTAAAATAAAATTGTTTTACAATATGTTTGAATCAAATGCAATATTATCTTTTGTATAGGATTTTTTTTTGTTATTTGAAATACAATTTGCTTAATCAGAATAAATATTTACATTCAGAGAAAACTTTTTAGTTGCGTTTATTTGGGACATATAAAACTTATTTGATTCAAATAAAAATAAATTTGTTTTAAACCCTAATAACTTTTTATTTGTTTTAAATAAAAGAAAAAATTATTTATCACCTATAAATTTTGTTTAACGCAAATAAAATTTGAATTTAAGCAAAATTAAATTTAATTGCAATGAAAAAAATATTAATAAAAAAGATATTTACTTATTTAAAAATAGTATATTTGGTTCAAACGTAACTTTCGACTGATTTTGTACATCCAGGTTGTCTTTTCGGAAAATTTGATATTAAAGTTAAAAAATTAATATTATTTATCCAACTATTAATTTTTTTAATTTTTTTTTATTGAAACACAGTTTAGAACTGTGTAATTTTCTTCTAGCACAATAATTTCTGTGTTTTTTTATAACAAAAAAAGTACTTCCATTTTTTTTTTTTTTTTGACTCACTTAAAAATAAAGGAACTTAATTTCGTTCAAGTACATTAAACTTTCTGTTTAAATCACTTTTATTCGTTAAAAAAAATGCTATTTGAAATTAAAAATTAAATAATAAAATTTAAGTAAAAATATTATTTTCAGAAAAATCAAGATTTAAAAAAAAATATTTTCCTCATAAATTATTAAATTTATTTTTAAAATTTATTTACTTTGAAAAATGAAATATTGTAATGAAAAATTCAATCTCTATTTTATGTGGATTTGAATTTTTCCAAGCAATTTTTTTTCAAAAACCACTTTATGTTTTTTTAAGAAAACAAAATAATCATTATAAAATCACACGGGTATTTTCATAAATTCTGGCATTTTTTCAAAGAAACTTAAATAGTTTTGCTTTTAATAAACGAACTTTGTTTATTTTTAAAGTTTTTAATTTTTTTCCAAACGGAAACAAAAATTTATAATAAATTAAATTTGAAGAAGAACTTCATTAAAACATAGCAATTTTTAAAATTAAAATAAATTTTTACTAAAAATTCGGATGATCTGTTTAAAAATTTTTACAAATGTATAAATTCTCAAAAATTCTAAATACCAATTTTAATTAAAAAAAAGAAAACGGAAAAAAATATAAATAAATAAAATAATTAACAAATTTTATGAATAATAAAATTTTCATTGCGTATGTAAAATTGTAGGTATAATGCAAATAATAAAATAATTCAATTGCCTATATTGATTATAAGGAAATATACTATACATGAAAGTTGAATTCATGCCAAAGGGTTTCCTGAATATTTGATTAAATTTCCTAGATTTATTTTTAACATAATTCACTCTTTAAAAAATGTATTTTTTTAAAAGAAAGTTTTTTTTTGATAAATTTAAATTAAATTTTTTTTCCTAAAATCAAAAAAATTTTTATTTATATCAATTATTATTTAATTCAAATAAAAATTATTTAGGTAGTTCAAATAAAAATTATTTGATCCAAATAAATATTTATTTGATAAAAGTCAAGTAATAAATTATTCAAACAAAATAAATTTTTTCCGGTGTGTAAATTTTCAAATAAGATAAAATGTTTATAGAAAATTTATTTTTTAATTTTCACGGTAAATAAAATTAAAATTTAATTTTCCACTATATTTTTAATTGCAATTTAATATTTGATGCAAAAGGAACAAAATTTTCAAATATATATATATAAATATGTATATATACAGAGAGATAGAGAGAGGGAGAGAAGAGAAATGAAATAGAATTAACATTCCTTCATAAAAGTAACATTGTTCTTTATACTTGAACTGTTCATTCTTATACAAAATTATTCAAAGCATTAATTAAGCCAACTTTCTCCACACTTCTTAAATAATATACTTTTTATTACACTTAAAAAAATTTCAAGTTCGTTTAGGGAAATTTAATTAAAATTAAAGATTCGTTTGTCATAATTTGAATTTTCTTAGAAGAAAAAAAAACAAAAAGAAAAAAAAGACAATAAGGTAAAGTTATATTATAATTAAGAAGTAAACTCTGCTTTAATTTTAACTTTGTTATAATTACTTTAATCTAAATTTATTATTCCACTTTTACATCCTCTAAATTCTAAACGAAAACTCTTAATTGAAGAAGAAAATACTCTTCATGTTAATTTTCTTTTTACATAATAATTGAATAATAAAATATTCTACTTCTTGTTTTGAGAGGAAAAATATAAACATAAGAGGAATTTTCCCTTTAATATATAAAATAATTTTTCTTTGAATAAAAATTTGATGAAGAATTTTTTTCTCTGATAAAAAATTTTTTTCGATAAAATAAAATTTCTTTCAATAAAACATTTTTTGGAAAAAGAAAGTTTATTTTCCCCTCATAATTGGGTTCTAGTGCATACATTTGTGTTTAAATTTATTTGAATGAATTTTACTAATAATTTTCCCTTTATAAGACACAAAATAGCTATTTCCAAGTATTCACTGTGCTGTCTTGTACCAACAATTTAAGGGAAGCTTAAAGCTCTAAATGAAACAATCTGGCAGAGTAAGGTTCCTCTAATTTCCAACTGAAGTGGAGTGAATACAGTCGTGAGGTTTGTGCAAGAGAGTTTACCCCTCGCGCACTATTTTCACACTTTATAAACAAAGAAATAAAAATGACATATATAGTCATTTCAATATTTCCCCCCTTTTAAATTCAGTCATTTATTTGAAAATTCATACACTCACAAGATGAGGTAGAATCAATTTTTTTTTCTTTAAAAAAATTCTTTTTTTCTAATTAATTTTTAAAATCAGTAAAAAATAGTAATAGTAAAATGATAATAATAATTATTATTATATAATATAATTATAATTATTACTGTAATAATTTCAATTACTTGAGAAAATTGATTAATAAATTACAAGCAGTCAATATATTCACTGGTAATTACTTTCGCGGAATTTAATTGATTATTTCATACATCACCACTCACATTTATCTATGCAAAAAGTATATATTGTCTCGTTCTGTATACGAATAATCAATACTTGACTAAAGTGGAAATTCATTAGATTAGATTGACAGATATTTTGATTATAAATTTATATATATATATGTAATAACAGCAATTATAAGTTTATTAATTGTGTTGTTCTATTATAAATTATTCAAATTAAACTGTATTATTACTTTTATATTTATTTATTAATGTGTCCATTTGTTTGTATTATGAAGTTAATTGCTTAAAATTATTTTTAAATTCTATTATTTTAAGAACAATTTTATTATCTTAATAATTAGATTAGATGTTAAAATATCACATTAAAAAATAAAATTCTCAAGAATATGGCTGATTTTTAAGGGGTCCGCAATTTGGCTCTTTAATTTGAATTTAAAAAATAATATTTAATTTTGAAAATTAAAGTAGCTATTGTTTGGAACTTGAATTCATTACTACAATTTATCTCTTAAAAAATAACACAAGGAACATGGAATTGTACGCCTCGTTGAGAATCACCCATATAGATATAAAGGTAGGTTTGTTGATAGAAAATAGTAAAAAAGAAGTTTGTAAAGAGCAACGTAGTTCTAAAGAGTGAATGTCCCTTTGTACTTGTCAAAGTAGTAATATTATGCCTCCTTCTATATACTTTTCTTTGGGAACCTCTCAGTCAGTGGATAGGTCGCTCTATAGTCAGACAAAGTGTTTCCGTATTCTCAAGATTCATTTCCATGATCTATAAGCTATGATGTCATAGACCCTTGAAGTGCGTCGTAAAATCGAAAATATTAAACCTACATATATATATAAAACGTCTTCATATAAGAACGCTTACGGCTCTTTATATTCTACTCTTCATTGAGTATAAAAAAAACTCCTCCCCTTCATTGAATCTCGCAAAAAAAATGATGAATTCATAATTTAATATATTTTTTATTTTATGTACTATTATAAAAAAATACTAACTCTCGTATAATTGAATAAAAATTATAATGTAAGAATATTATTATTATTATTATATTACGTCTTTATAATAAATATTGTTATTTATAATAAAAAAATTATATATAATTTGTATTATATAATTATATAATTATAATACTATAATAATATAATTAACAAGTTATAATAAATTCCCCAAGAGTGTCAATTGCATCATATAAGAAAACGTAAATTATGGATAACGACCGATCGTAAAAAAAAATCCATAACAATAAGTGAAATATCTTTTTTTTCTATTATTGTTATTATAGTTTTCCTTTCGATTCTATACTGTCATTGTAAAATATTCTCAAGTTACAAAAAAACGTGTCCAAAAGGGACAAAAAGCAACGTTTGCTCGTTACGAGACAATTTTTTTTCTCGTATCTTGCATCAAACGATCGTTAAAGGTATTTTCAAAAGATAAAAATAGTAATATATATTTCATTCGCCAGCACACACTTTGTTATTATTGTTAAATTATTTTTTACTGTTTAAGTATTTTATTTTTATTTATTATTTATTTATTATTTATTTTTGTATTTTTAATTCTTTTATATAAAATTATATCACAGTCTCATAAAAGAAAAGAAAAAGTATTTTCAAAAATAATTACTAGTCGTTTTTTTTAGTTATTATATTTCTCAAAAAAAATGAAAAAAAAGAATTTAATTAAAAAAAATGTTATTTGACATTAATAGAGTTTTATTTGTCGCAAATAAATATTTATACGAAAGTAATAAATATTTATTTAACTCTGAGACAAATATATTTTTCTTTCTCTGGTTGGATAACGTTATCTATATAAGTGAATTAAAAGAGTAAGTTTATTTGTTTTTTTATCCAGTTCTTAAGATGGAGTATTTTTTCTGTCGCTTAGATTTAAATTATTACGTCTTTACTTTTACCCCGTTTCCTAAGTATATTAATCACATATTCATGAATCCAATTTTAAAGTACAAACTGTGAAAGTAACGACAGTTGCTAAAAAAAAAATTCCGCCCACTTTTTTTTATTTTTTTTTTTTTTTGCGCTCAGGAATAAATTTGTTAAGACTTCAAATTTTTTTCAAACACTATTATATAAAAAAAATTGATAACGTATTTTTTGTATGTGCTTTTGAAAATTTTTTTTCAAATAAAATATTTTCAAATAGGATTATATTTTATACAATATTTCAAACGAATTTTAATTGAAATAAACAAGTTTTTTTTTTATATTTTTCTATAGCTTTTTTAACCTTAGAATCAGAGGAAAACGAAGAATAAGTATTTGTGAGGAAAAACTTTAATAATAGTTCCATGGGGAAATGTGTAGGTTGTCCTCGTCGAGTGGTCAATAACCGACCCTGAGAGAAAGAAGAAGAAGAAGATGTGTGAAATATAAATTTCTGACAAAATTTAAAAAAGTATTTAAAAATACTTTTTTGTCGCGGGGAATTTTTTTTTCTTGTTGATTTAAATTACGCGCAAGCAGTGAGAAGGTATAAAAAAGACCTTGAAAGCGAGAAGAGAGGAGGAGGGGAGAGAGTCAAATGCCCTCCTAATTAGACAGTCGAGATGCGCTTTTATTTGTCAAAAAAAAAAAAGAGACTTATTCTAGACACAACGTTTAGCAAAGGGCGCGACTGACATTTGTTGACCTTCCTGTTAAGTAGGAAAACGTGCTCGAAATGATAAAATGCATATATCCCCTCAAATGTCACTGACTCACTGAATAAAAATTTATTATTAAAAAAAACAAAATTTATTAAAAATTTTTAAAATATTTTTAAAATTTCTTTTAAAAATATGTCGAAAATTTACAAAAGAATATTATTCTCAATTTAAGAGGAATAATTATCTGGTTCTAGATTTTCTATATTATATGTATAATAAATAAAATAAAAAAAATTCAGCTTAATGAAAATTCTGTTGATTGAAACTTCTACCAAATTCGGTTAAATAAAATTTTTAATTAAAATGAGAAATTTTTGTTATATTGACATAGAAATTGTAGAGGAAATTTTTTTTTTGTGAGAGAATAGAAGACAACGAAAAGGTTATTGTTTTGCTTATAAAATATTGTAAAGTGGAAAATCTTCGGTTCAGTCGAAGACAAACTAGACACTTTGAATTCGTTGCCAGCTGGCGAGTTTGTCATCTCTATTCTCTGTTCTCTCTATACAATTTTCCTCGTAACATATATTATACATAGTGGAACTGTTTAAAATCAAAGCTCCTCATTTTAGACATTCCTTGAGCTTTTAACACTTTTCAATTTTTATTTTACTTTTTTCCTAAATTCATCTCAATAACTACGTTGAAAAAGTAATATATCTTTTGAAAAAAAGAAACTTAAAATCTTTAAAAAATGTAAATTTTTATATTGAATTTGTAGAATGAAATTTTAATGACTTATTGCGAAATTATTTACTCACACAATTATTAATTGCAAAACCTTTTAATTTCCTTTCACTAAAATTGAGAAAATTAATATTCAAAAAAATATGTTTACAAAAGTCTCCTTTATATATGCTATTTTAAAAGAAATTTCAAAAGCAAAAAAAGAATTTATTTTTTTTTCATTTAATCTTGATGCTTATTTTTAATTTGCATTTTAATTTTCTTGAAATTATGGAGAAACGCTTAAGAGCATATGCTGCACGTGATACGCGATTCAAAAGGCAGAAGGTACATGGGATATATAACTATAATTCCTCGAGATGCCTATACCTTTCACCATTGAAACATACCCTTTGTATTTAATTACATGAGATTCTCCATTGTCAATTAAGTTTCGCTCTTAATCAAAGTACAATCTCATATTACATGATTTTCATTCATCTATAAATCATATATCAATTATTAATTATTAATTAATAATTATTTATAATTAAATGAAATTAAAAAAAAAATTATTTTATCCAAGTAGAAATTTTTCAGAATAATTTTTAATTGAACCAAATATTTTTTTACGTGTATTAAAATATATATTAATATAATCAATAATTTAATAAAATATATTATTATATTAATACAATAATTATTAATTTATTATTAGTTTATAAAATTAATTTTTCTTTTAACATTTAAAAAAAAACAAAATATTCTATGTAGAGGGAAAATTGAAATGTATATTAATCATTTATTTTTAAAATCTATTATTGAATGTTTGCCGATGATTTCATAAAAAATTGGTACGCAATTGGAACGAGTTGAAAAATAAAAAATTTACTTCATCCAAGAATTTTTTTTATGTTTGCACCCCGAGAAAAGATATATTTGCTTCAGAGTCAAATAAATATCTATTTGTTTTAAATAAATTTTATTTGAGTTAAATAAAAATTTTATTTGCGCCAAATTAAAATTTATTTGCACTGAATAAAATTTTATTTGTGTTAAATAATTTCTTTGATTTAAAACAAATAAAAAATTACCAGACTATGAGACAAATATATTTTTATTTGCTTTGAATAAATTTTATTTGTCTCAAATAAACGTCAATAAAATATTTTCTTGGGTGTAAAAACAAAAAAAAAGTCAGTTTGTAAAAAGAAATTTTTTTTAGAGAGGAATTTGGTACATTTTGATCATCCTATATATGTAATACATGATCTTTCGATAGTATATCAAAGCTTTGTTAAACAATATATACAGGTTACGGCACACGTTGTCCTTTAGGGAATATCTCGAATCGTGACGTGACAGCTTTTGCATAATGCCATACAGAATGGGGGTGTTAATTACTATTTTACTCTCAATTGTGTATATATATGCACGTAACCCCGTAACCTCAATATTGTCACGATACAAGGATAAATTTGCATGCAAAATCACATAATAATATGGAAATACTATTATACAAGTTTTAATGTGTGATAAGTAGTTTATGATAAAAAGCAAAAATATTTCTTCTTTTTTTTCATTCTAATGGAAATTATTAATTATTTAGGTATTCATATTCTATAAAATATTCCTTTTCCACAATATGCTATGTAATTCTCGCACCATACTCGCAACTTAGGTGAATAATTCTAATCCTCCTGCAAATGGAATGTAATGAAACTCATTTGAATAATTAAAAATTCGAATTTTATATTTTAAAAAATGAGTTATTTTCATTTAAAAAAAAATGGTATTACTAAGTTTTAATTTATTTTTCATTAATTATAAATTATATAAATATATAAATAATATAATGAATAAAATAAATCCTTTAAAATGGAGATTATTTTTTTTAATTGTTGATTATCATGTGTACTGAATGAAAAAAAAATATATTTATATATCAATGAAAGAAAATGAGAAATTTGATGGTTATTTTCTCTCTATTTTTTTTATGATATTAAAGAAATGCGAATAAATGAGGGGAAATTGTCTGTTTCTTTTTTTCAGAGAGAATGTCTTCACTACGAACACAATCCTCCGGTGGAGGTGTTATGGGCTTAAGTAGTGTAGGATCAGACAGAACGGGTGTTGCATCGACAGTAGGTGGTTCTCATTCTCATTCACACAGAAAGCATCATCATCATCATAGAAGTAGAAGTGCTCCTCGAGCACCAGAGAAACCACCGAGGAAACGTCACCTTAATCCCGGATACAGTCTCGCCTCCATTCCCAGTCAAATCAAACTTTCTATGCTCAACAGTGGACTCATTTCATTCGGTGAGTTTCAAATTTTTAACACTTTCACACAAATTATGGAAATATATTTTATACACTGAAAAAGGTTTATTTGATTCAAATATTCTGCGGTGTCAAATAAATATTTACTTGAACCAAATAATTTTTATTTGATTTAAATAAATTATATTCGGAATAATAATTAATTTAATTAAATTTTATTATAAATAATAAAATTACAATAATTAAGTTTTAATTTAAAAGAAAATTGGATTTTACAAAAAAAAAGAGTTGAGAATTTCAAATAATGAAAAAACGAAAATCAACAAAAATCTTGATTTTATGGTTTCTAAGGAAAATCTTGGTTTCTAAGGGAGATTATTTCCTGAAGACAGAAAAGAACTCGACCTCTTTCGTTTGGTAGCTTCCAAAGTGGAAATATCAAATTAAAATTTCGAAAAGTTTACGTTTTAACTAAATTCAATTTTATTTCAAAGAAAGTTATTTTATTTCATAATAAAAATTGTAATTTTAATTAATTTTCGAATTCGAGGACGAATTTTTCCTAATTGTCAATAATCATGTGGGAGATTAATTTTTAATTTCAAAAAATGAAAAGGAGAAATAAAATTTAATTTAATTAATTTCTTTTCTAATTTTATTTGAGTGAAACATTTCTATATTTTCAAAAGTGATATAGTTTAATTTGATTATTTAATTATTAATTGATTTTGAATACAAAAAAAAATGTAGGTCACCAAGAGAAAAGAGTATCTTTTCGTAATAATGGTTGTAATATTAATTAACGTTATCAAATCTACCCAAGTAGAAATATCCGTGGCTCGCCGTAATTAAACACCGGCATGGTACTGATCCAATACTGGCTGTCGGTATTGACTTTCAGTACTGGCAGTGTACTGACTAATACACCGAATCAGTACTATGTCGGAGGTAAAAAAATATTAAAACCAGTACTGGCAGTACACTGTCATTCACACCGAATCAGTACTATGTCGGTGATAAAAAACATTAAATGAAAAAGTCTTTAAATTATTCCAATAGATAGAAAACGATGATTTTTTATTTAAAAAAATGTATATTAATTCCTTTCGAATACTTTCCCTCAAAATTTTGGATGTAATTGTAATGTATTATTATATACCTATATAAAATATATTTATGTTTTTTTAGTTATTTTAGTACTCATTGAAATATGTGCATTAAGTTATTTATCATGCATGCAATAACAATAAGTTGAGAATTTTTTTCTAATAGTTTTAAAAATAAAGCAAATGTAATTTTTTCACTGTAATTTTTAAATATTATTAATAATTAAATATTAAATTTAAAAAATTTTTTACCATTCATATTTTACAGTCGTCTTTTATTAACTTATTTTTAATTATGTAATTCATCAATCATTTTTCTCTGTTTTAATATTATTTACGGTAAAAATAATTTATTAAAAATATTTAACTGAAATTGATATCCAGTTTTATTTCATTAAATCTTTGTAAAAATTGAAAAAATTTTGTGAGTTTAAAAAATTTAAGAATAAATTCATTTTATTTTCGTGATCAATAGATAATACAAACTTTGAAATCAAAACTTTTGTATTAGGTGAACTACTTCAAGTCAGCACTTCAAGCCAGCGCGGCTGTGCGGTATGCGTATCTGACTTGCGTTCTAAGGGTTTAGGGTTCGATCCCCCATGCGTGCGAGATTTTTCGTTCTTAGTTTTAAGTGTTATAAGTACAATATTTGTTCATGTGTAATATCAATTATTAAATAATTATTAAATTAAGTATAAGTGCAAAGTAAAAAAAATTAAATATTATGAATTTAAAAAAATAAAAAAATTTACAACACAAATTATTTTTTGTAAAATAATTTATTAAAAATAAAATAATTTAATTAATATAAATGATAATTATTATTTTAATTATTTATTGTTAATAATATTTTATATATTCTAAATAACATTAACTATTATTGGCTTCACATTACCTGTTCGTGGTAAAAATGGGAGTAATAAGCTAATAAGGATGAAATTTGCATTGGAAAGCGTGTTTTAGCATTTTGTAAAAAAGTGAGATTTTAAGTCCGGATGAGTACTTTGCCAGTATTATGCCAGTATTATTCTAGTACTACGTTAGTACTGGTGAGCGGGACAAAATCAGTACTGGACAGCGTTACCAGCCAGGGTTGGTCCACTACTGGCCCAGTACGGCAGTCAGTACTATTATACTGACTGGCAGTGTTGGGTCAGTACTATGCCAGTGGCACATTTCTACTTGGGTATTTCTATGTGTTATAAATCATTTTTAAAATAGTTTTTACGATATTTTTCTTACAGATAATAATAATTCATTAATTTTATTTCTAGTTTATAAATTTTTATGTAGATATAATTAATTACTTTTCAAATAATAATTAATTACTCTTTTTAAATAATTATTAATTGCTTTTTAAATAATAATTAATTAATGTACAAATTATATTTAAACAAATTTTTTTTCTATTTTGCAAATTAAAAAAAAACTTCCTCCTGATTTTATACGCCTTAAAAGATTTTAATTAACTTTCTTCGTTTTGAAAAAAATCATAAAATGTAAGATTTTTATTTTAAATTCAAGTAATCAAATTTTCTTTTCTTTTCCGCGTATATAAAATGTAACTCTAATAGAAGAAATTGGTTCATACGCGGAAAAAGAAAATTTCCTTTACTTCTTTCTCGAAATATACGCATATACAGGTATAAATATATATATATATAAAAAAAGCTTACTTCATATCCGACCTCGGCAAGTAATCAACAAGTCCTGCAATAAGGTTCATAAGTTGTTGTTGCTTTTTTTATTGCCATTTCCGTATTTTATTTACTCGAGAACCTTTATACGTTTTATATATATATAATTTTATTACTTTTCTCCTCCAGAGCGCACTTGAGGAACAAAAGTTTCGCACACAATTCAAAGGGGTACAAAAAATATCAAAATAATAAAAAAAAATAATAATCCACAAGGGAAGTTGAACGCGTGAAATTAAATTCTTCGAAATTTATAATAGGAAGTAATCTCCATGAATAATTAATTGTCTGAATTTTAATGAATGGAGAAATATATATAGAATAAAATGCTTGAATATAACCAATTAGGAATTTTCAATGCAAGTTGCATTCTTTTTTTTTTTTTATTTATTTTTATTTTGTTTATATAGACGTTGGTTTAAAAAGAATGAATAAATCAAATGTAGCGCATAGTATTCACGGCGCACCTATTCCCCTTGGGATCAACCTGAAAAGGAAATGAAGTTTTGCATTTTTGCTATAACACCTATACACACACGAAAGCAAAACTATCTCAAACCATCCGTGGAAAGCATTTTGAAGAGACGATTTTACATTATATATATATATATATATATATATATATATATATATATATATATATACGAAATCGCAAGACATTTATATTTATAATAAAGAGATAAACGCGTGTCGTGCTGAACTTTTATTAGATATAAAATTGTCCACTTTGTATGAAAAATTGTCCATGTTAGAAAAAAAACATTTTTTTTTTTTTTATAACAATTTAGTTTAGTAAAATTAAATTTTATTTAATTTCATTTAAATTAAAAAATTATAAATAAAAGTAAATTAAAGATTTTTACTGACACAATTTTTCAATATACAAAGTAACATCGAAAGGAAAGATTTGAAAAGTTCATAATTAAAATGGCTTCAGTCAATGTTCAACTTCGAAATCCATAGTATAAAGAAGCACGAAATTAACTGATTAAATTAAAGTGAGCCTTGAAGGGAACAACCGAGAAGAAAAAAGAAAGTTTATAGTGAGACAGCAGGAAGAAACGCGATGCTAAAAGCTTCTAAAACGTTTTGAAAAGCTCCCAGCGTAGTACTTAATTAGATCACATTCTTCGCGTGTGCTTTTTGGTTCGCGATTAAAATTCTGAAAGCCTTTTTTTTATCGTCATTATATTTCTCAACGTGAAAATAAAACTATTTTTTTCGCACCCTTTTTTTTTGGTCTGCGACAAAAATAACAATTCATTTTTGTTTCTAAAAATTTTCAAAAAGCGTAACATTGCAAATTGCCTTTTTTTCAAGAACCCTAGGGATTTCTAATTAGTGAATTTTTTTTTGGTTCCCTAATTATATGCTTCATAATTAGTTGCTTTTTTTAAGAGTTCATATGTGATATTTTTTTCTGTAGAGTAACATTTTATTTCATGTTCTAATTATAATCTGTTTTATAAGCAGAGGGACATTTTTTTTTATTCGAATCAAATATAATTTAAGCGAAATATATAATTTTTTTATTTTACTCGGGAATTGTAAAAAAAATAGCTAAATAATTGAAAAAATTTATTTCAATAAAAAAAATCACTGGTCAATAAACTTTTTTCTCTAAATCAAAGAAATTATTCTCTTACTACAAGTATATGGAGTGTAACAAGGCGCATGTGTGCCTCTATATAAAATTCATTGAAACTAAAGTATTCAAAGGGAGTTTAAATGGAGCATTTAATTCGACACAATGGTTCGTTGTTATTTGTCAAATCAAATTAAGAAGCATTGTTTGAGGGAAGCAATGAGAGGCACTGTTATAGGATCTCGGACAAAGTCAGACATATTCGACAAGGTTAGAAAGAAGAGCTATATAAAAGATGACTCAGTATTAGTCAAGGAATTTGCACGCATTTTAACTCTCGGGAAAATCAAACTTTTCTCTCTCTCTTTTTATATATATATATATATAAGCTCAGAATGAACACCAGTTCAGAACACACATATTTGTGTCAAGATCAACTCTCCCACATTTGATGTGTTCACACATCAGGGAGTAGGCTAACTTAAATGTTATGGCTGCCACATATGTTACACATTATGCAGTTCTGATGTCAGGTTAAAAATATATCTTTAGTGCCCGAATTGCTGTTCCAGCAAATGCAACCTTTTTTTTCTCCTCTTCATTTTATAATTATGGGTGGTCCGAAAATGAAATGCAATTTTTTATAAA